CCGTAGCGTATGAGTAGACATGGAGGGTGAATACGCAGTCCGACCAGTACTCGGTTTAACTGGGACTGATGCATCCATATTAGTAATAGATGATCTTAATGATAATTCAATAATGTTAAAATTTTCATAAATGAGACACATGAGAAATAGGATAAATTTTTAGTTAAGAATGTGTCATTTCTAAAAGCATGTGACAAGAACAACGGTTCTAGTTTATGAAATAGGAATAATTCTTTTAAAATAATGAACTTGAATTGTTAAAGTTCTAATCGGAAAACGAAATTTGAATCGAATAGTGATGATTTCTGGCTGACAGAATCTAAAGATGTATATAATGCCAATGTCTCTGTAGAAAATAGTTTTCGATGAGAGGTGCAATTTTTGTAGTTGAGACTTATTTTTCACATTTTCATCTTCGTTTCTTTCCCAAAAGTTTTTCATTGACTAGGTGTTAGATGAATAATTACTATTTGAATCATACTAAGCTGTAGCAAACCAGATTTATCATAAAATCATCTACAAATACTACTGATTTCAGTATTAAATAAATTGAATTCAATAAAACATTTCAAAATTTTTTTTCTACAACTATACTTTTGTTTTTTAAAAATTACTCTCGATCAACTTCTCTATTGTATTATTAATTCATTAGAAAAAAATTTCAATTTTAATAAACAATTTCAACTATTTATCTTTAATTTTTCTATAGATGAACAACAATCCAAACTAGTATCAAAAGATATTTCATATCCATCACGTGATACAAATTTAGCACCAATTACTGAAGATGAAGAATTATCCATTAGAAATACTAATGAAGATGATCTACCTAATTCTCAGCGACCAGATGATGAAGTAAAGAATTCATTCAGAATTAAATTAAATATGAATTTTGTTTTGTTGTCTAAAGGATGATGAAGATCAAGAAGAAAATAATGAAGAAGAAGAAGACAATGATGATGATGATGATGAACGTCATAGAACAGTACGTAGTCGACGTTCACGTCCAAGTGCTGGTAGTCGTGAACGAACAAGTGGTGGTAGTGGAGCTGATGAAGAATATCTTGATACCGATGATAATGATACAGTTGGTTTTGATGATGAAAATAATAATACAAATAAAAATTCAATTGAACGTACAAAAATTACTACTGAAGAAGATACTGAATTTATTAAAGCATATGATGCATTAGTTGCTGAATCTGTTGCTGTAAGTTTTTTTTGTTTTTGAATAAGTATTATTATCAAATATTTATATATATATATATATTAATATAGCAACGTTCAAATGATTTAACAAAAATTTCAGCACCAGATATTCCTGTACCAATACATTTAAGAAAAAATAAAATACCATCAACAACAACTATAAATATTTCACGTAAGATATTTTGTTTTGTTTATTTGTTTATATATTTATTTATTTTAGAAAGCGATGGTGATGATGAAGGTGAAAATAATGTTAAAAAACCAGAAACAGTTAATTTTGTTGTTATGCTTAAAAAGAATAATAAACCACAAGTAAATTCTTGAAATACACATATATTTTTATTTTTTGAATTTTATTCTTTTAATGAATAAATTTTAGTTTTATAATATGGCTGTTTCAAGTACATCGGAAATGGCATTAAAATTAAAAGCTCGTGAACAAGTATATTTAATAGAAGAATTTTATTTAATAAACTATTTTGGTTTATTTATTTAGGCTGATCGTGAAGAGAAAGCTCAATTGAAAATTCTTACACTTAATATGTCAACACGAATGGAACAACAAGAAAATGAACAAGGTATGTTTATAAATAGAATTATTTTGAAATAAGATTGTTGTTGTTTTTTTTTTGTTATAGATTCAATAATGAATGTAACGAATCGTACACCACCAGCACCAGGTTTAAATTTTAATCGAGAAAAAAAACCGAAATATATACCACCAAAAGGTGCTCCAGATGCTGATGCTATTTTTGGACCAAAGTAAGAAAAAAATAAATAAATAAGTTTTGATTTCAATGAATTTTTTTTTTGATGACCTATGAAGGCATAGTTACTTTTCATTTAAAGAAATCGATATAAACGAATAACTTAAATAAGATTAACATTCCAATAGACAGTAACAAATTTTGGCAGTGAATGTTAAGTTGTTGTTTTCTTTTTATTCTGGTTTGATATTAGAGATCGTTTTCGCCTACAGACTGATAAAAAATATAAGACTGATGTAATTTTGAATTTTTTTTTCCTGTGATACCAAACATTCAATTTAAATCTACATAGTGGTTTGAATAGCCAATGAAGTTCTCTTTGAAATACATCGCATATTGAAATTTCATAGATGAACTATGATAGAAAGGGTTCAGAAAAATCAAACACGATAGTTTTCAGATCTTAGAAGATTGCGTAGAAATTAGTTGTTAAGAGTGCTATCTTAAAGAACACAAAATTCTGAATAAAATGAGGGGTCACTGTATTTTCTATGATCTTCCCTGAAAAAGTTACAAGCATCACAAAGCTAAATTTATTATAGCATTGGTCAAAAACTAATTTTTTTGTTAGTATGATCCATATAACCTTTTAAAGGAAGGTCATAGGAGATGTGGCAACCGCTCATTTTATACAAAATTTTGTGCTTTTTAAGATAGTACTCTTAAAAACTAATTTTCATACAATCTTTTGAAATCTAAAGACTCACTGTATTTATTTTTTAAAAACCTTTCTCTCATAGTCTATCCATGAAATTTCTGTATGAAATGCATTTCAAAGAAAATCTCATGACTATCCAAACTACTATTTAAATTTAAATTAAATGCTTGGTACAATAGACAAACACTTTAATATACGTTGATCTTGTCAATATGATCTTCGTCGAAAGTTACATCATCGAAATTTGATGATTTACATTTCGACGATTCGATACACAACTGTTGATCTTCTATACTTGACCAGTACTGTAGACTAATAAAATTGGTTTAAGCTCATAAAAAATCTATGCTAATGATTATTTATTTCCGCATGTCTGTAAAATAATGATCATTTATATATGTATATTGTTTTTTTTTCTATAGAAAACGGTGAACGAACTCCAGTGTGGAAATCACATCAGACTTCAGCTATGATGACTGTTATCATCTAAGCAATTGAAGACATATGGTATTTATGCATAATTCCATACAACATTGATAAAAAGAAAATCTATTTGACAGAAAAATAAAGGATGAAAACATGTAATTAAGTTCTTTTGTGCAGTGATTCACTGGAGAAAAAAAATCTTATTGAAGTCTGTATTTTTTTTTGTGTTTTTTGTTTTGTCTTTCGTTTGTTTCTTTAATTTTTTTTTTGATTTCTACTTCATTATAAAAACATTGAAACAAAGACAAGCAATTAGATACGATCTCTCTTCATACATATTGTATACTTTTGAATTTTTCTTTTTTCTTGCTCCTGTTTGTTTTTTGTTACTTTGTACCTTATGCTTATCTGCTTAAACAGTCGTCATCATTATGTGCTTTACTAACGAAGAAAGAAGGAGAAAGAGAGATAAAAGGAAATGAAATAAAAACAAAAAATCTGTATACAATTGTATTAGTTGATTATATGTGATAAATTAGAAAGATTTTTAAACAAATTGAATTTGATTATGTCTGTTATAGTTCGTTCATTTCTATAGTGAATATGTAGCAGAAGTATCTTTTATATTACTTTACATCCGATTTGAGTATCTACAAGTCCAACAGTTAGAATTGTGTGGTGAGTCTGATGAATTCAATCTAACTGTACTAATTTAACATAATGACAGAAGAGATGTTCGAAGATCGTCGCATTGCAGTAGCCTTTTTCCTTCGAGGACTGCGATAGATTTTTAACCGCAATAGACATCTATGATATGTAGATAAGAATAATAATATTGAATATGTAGCGTTTTCGAATCGATAGTTAGTTTCTAATCGATCAGATAGTTAGTGTAGGTTTATGGAGTGTTTTTTTTTTTGATAGTTTTATATTTTCTAATCTTCAGCTGTTAATAGCTTTTTTTTTAAATTGAAAATATGATTTCGAATGATAAAATAGACATTATCATTTATGTATATAAATTTTACCAATGTGAATGAAGATAATAATCAAAAGATGTAATGAACATGATTATTTATCAAATATATAGAAATGTGTCGATTAGACGTATCCATTTTATCATTAAAAATTTTATTTTAATACATATTTTTAAGAATTCTAGGTTTGATGTAATTGTACAATAATATCAAAAATGTTGTAGAAAGATGTTTTTTTTTACAAGAAAGAACTTTGTAATACATTTGATGAATAACGTTAATGATAGTCTCAGTTCGGTCATGATTCATCAAATGAAAAGGAGATGATAAAATTTCAATTATCATCGTTTAAAGAATTCATACTCGAATGGTCAACATCGACTGAGTAGGACTCATATAATAATATGATTTATACCAAATGACATGTTAACGATCATTGTTAAGATACACATTAAATATGAAAAGCGAACACCAAGTAACATGCTATTCACAATTACACATCGTAATGAACTTGTACTTAATTATCGAGGTTTACAATTAGCAGTTCAATAGAGATAGATATATCCATTGTCTAGAAATTGAATATCAAGTGAGATTTAATTTTCTGCGCATGTATATGTCAGTCTTTCTAATTTCATGAATGGGATTGTGTGTGTTAATGTTTCAAGCCAATCTGATTGTAGAATGCCTTGAGTTCTACTTTAATTGCTGTGGAATTTTCAATTTCTGAATGGTGGATACAACTGAATTGGAAGGGATCGAATCGAGAGTAACACCCGATAATACAAACATGCATTAAACTAATCAATAAAAGATCTATAGAATGAATGTGATATTCGTTCTGTTTTTTTTTATAGACGAAAAATTTGTGTTAATCTAATTAAACAAAAACAAAACATAAAATTCAATATAAACTCTAATCTTGTTTTGTTTTTGATATTGATCGTCTTGAATTTAATTCTTTTATATCAGACGTAGAAGAAGATAAGTTTTATAATATTCATCCAAAAGTTTAACACAAGTTTCATTAAATAAATATTTAAATAAATGTCGATATGTGTACCAAAATTTTCTTTCAAATATGTTATGTGTTATATGTGCATCACCAAATTCAGAAAAATTAGATTTTGTAGACCATTCTATGAATGGTTGTGATCGATCAAGACGTCCCTAAGAAAATAAATAAATATAACAATATATATATATACATTAATGAATTATTAACATACTAATAATCCTCGTTCATGAATTTTTAATTTTTGTCCATCTGTTGTCGTATTTATATAATCAAATAAAAACATTGTTATTAATAGTTGATCCATATCCCATCCAGTACCACCTTTTACTGTTGGTTGATCATATACGTCACGAAATTCCTGTCGTAAATAAAGTGAAATTATATCAAATGTTACTATTTTATCTTTAGTTAATAATAATGAATCAAAATTTTTTTTTTTATATCTTTTTGTTATTTCATAATCATAAGATCCATTTGTATATTGATAAAAATTTTGACTAATAGTAATTAATTCTTTATGTATAACTGATTGAAGAATTATATCACGCCATAAATAACTTTTCATATATAAATGACCCATTGGTATCATATGATATGAACTATTTCGTCGAAAAAAAAATCCACAACAATAACGATTAACAATAAAACCATCTGGATAACCTTTTTCTAACATATATTGTGTACGACGTAATGGTATTAAATCTGAATCACTAATTATAAAATAATCATCATCATTAGAAAAGTTTAATGGTAAAAATCCAATAAATAAACGAATTGTTTGTGATATTTTCATTGCATAATTTTCTGGACATTGAAATTCTAATATTTTACCACCAAATTCATAAATATATTTTATAACAAGTTGAATATCATCAGGTTTTGTTTGATTTAATTTAATAAAATCACCAACTAATGTAACAATTACTTCATAACCTAATCGACGCCATGCAAGTACTATTATAGGCGTATAAAAACAATAAGCTTCATTTGATGAATGAATTGAACAAGCTACAAATGCATATTGTTTTGATAATGGTTCAACTCGTTCTTCTAAAATAGGTTCTTTCGTTGTCGTTGTCTCAGTAGTTGTCAGTGATCGTAAAAATATAGGTGAATCTTTTATTACTAATGATTTGTATGGTAATATACAAAATAATGCAATACACATACATAAAATACAGAAAAAAATTACAAGACATCGATAAGAAATTATCTAAAAAAAAAGAAAGAATATATAATGAGTACAAATTTTTCTTATTGAAAATAAGAAAATAAAATAATTAACTCACCTTATTACATCCACTGTTTTCTTTTGAATATGTTAGAGACATTGACAATGTTCGTATTCTTTCGTTATTGACAATCAATACTTACCGCCTTATGAGACAAAACGAAAGGAAAAAATGACATGTTTTTTCTCCTCTCATTCTGCTTTGTATCGCAAAAATTCAATGATGCGTTGCAAAATGATGTATATATCTATATATATATCTATATATATGTATCCAACTAAACATTGATGACACTATTGAATGAAACGAAAATAATATTCATCTATCCAATGACTTTTTTGTTCATTTTTTCCTTTTAGACAGAAATTTATTACGTAACAAATGATGACCGAAAATGATGTAAACATTGTTACTGCTCGAGGTTATAAGCACGCAGTCACACTTTATGAACAATCTCGCCTATCATATCCAAATGAAATGATTGATTTAATTAAGTCATTTTATAATAAACCAAATATAACTATTGATCTTGGTGCTGGTACAGGAAAATTAATACATTTATTATGTTCAATTAATGCTGAAAGAAATAATTGCTATTGAACCAATATCAGCAACGCATGAAAATCTTAAAAATATTCCTTTAATTACAAAAATAATTAATGGAACAGCTGAACATATACCATTTGAAGATAATACAATCGATATAATTCTATGTGGATAATCATTTCATTGGTTTGCAAATTATCGTACACTTATTGAATTAAATCATGTATTAAAATCAAATGGTTTACTTATACTTATTTGGAATTTAGCAGATAATTGAGAAAGACCATGAGCTCAAAATATATCAATTTCGATCGAATGAAACATCAAATTCTAAAACAATGGAATGAAAAAAGTTTTCAATAATCAAAATTTATTTTCTTCATTAGAACATAAATAATTTACTTCTAAACATTGTGTAATACGTGAATTAATTATAAATGGAATTTTATCACTAAGTTTTATTGCAATATTATCATCTGAACAACAAATAAAATTAATTGATGAAATTTGAAAAATTTTATAGAATACTGAAGAAATTCAAGGTTTTAGAAGAATTTGATTTAAATTATCTTACTGATGTTTATTGGTGTTCAGAATTGAAATCATCGTTGTAATAATTTTATATCTTAGTAAAAGTGAATGATATTTTGTTTTTTTTTGAATTTTAATGACATTTGATTTTTGATGTGATTTACTTTGAAATATGAAATTCTATTCTTTCAAATGTTTTTATGATGTAAAATAATCTAATTCTTATGTTAAACAAGTTTCTATAAAGATATTTTCTCTAAGAAAGTCTTCAATACATCTTAATATAGTTTATTCAAAAAGCATTTATGTCAATAGTAATTCACAAATGTCAAAGTGTCTTCATATGCATATAATACAATATATCGAAATGTATATGAGTACACGTGATGTACCCAAATAGTAAAGGACACTTGTGATAGGTAAACAACATCGAAAGTATTGGCTTATATGGATAATGAAAGTTTGAATAAAGATTTATTTATTTATGAAAAAAAGATTGTATTAACTGATTTGATCTCTAGAAATCGAATTTTTAAGATCAGCGAATATATTTATATATAAATGTTGTAACGAAATTAGAATATAGGAAAAATTGAAATAACCCGCCGGATTGAGTCGGTATATAATAAAATAGAAGTTTGAAGATTGTACTATGACTGTGAAAATATCTGTCGGATGTTGATTAGCTTCGATTCGGATGCAAAATATCTTATCCATGTAGGACATTAGTTCGAATGAAAGTCGAATTCGACTCAATTCATACAAACAAATTTGAATAGAATAACTACTTTTTTTTCTTTATTGAACAATATCATATGGTTTCACATCAAATACTTTATAAATCAAAGTATTTTAGTCGATTTCACTAATATTTGTACAATCACTTTGAGAGTGAGGATATGAAGATCGTGTTAAATGAATATCCTTGTTTACCTATATTCAACCTTATCATTATCCTGGAAATGGGTGTACAAATATTAGTACATAGATTAAAGTGCTTTGACTTGTAAATTGTTTGATGAAATTCAATGATATTGTTCAATATTAAACACTAAATGATAATTTCTAATTTGATTATTCGAAAGGATTTTCAATGGTACACGAACTTTTATTATATAATAATTGAAATTTTTATAAGAAAAATAACTTCATTGATATTTCAAAAAAAACAAGGATACAAAATTAAATTATTTTGAAATATTTAATAATTCTATTTTATCTTTAATTTTTTCTTCTTCATGAACACTTAGAATAGACTTATCACGTAAAACTTTACTTCTTTATAAATAACTCAAATATGATTATTCATTCACATTTTTTTATTTGTTTATTTACTGTTAATAATCAATTGAATATAATCAATAAAAATAGAAAGACATATGAATATATAAGCAAAACCAGATCGTACACATCCGTAATCTACTGAACTAATACTTATTAATAACTAACGATTGCTAACAAATAATTGATTTTTTTTTCTCGTGATACATTGATTTGTGAATTTATATATTATTCATTCTATTTGATTTACTTTATAAATGAATTATGATATACATAAACATATTTTTCTTTAATAAAAAAAGTCTTTTTTTTTCTCTAATATCCTTTTTCAAAAGGTAAACATGCAAATGACAAAAACAATGTTTTGTTTTTCAAACCTTTCACCATACTGAATAATCAAAACATTGACAACAACCATTACTAGTGACTTCTTTTGTTTTTGATGAAAAAAAAAATCAACTTAAGATGCTAAGAATTTATATATAAAAGAAAAGAGCATTCATCTTATTTATGTTTATTTATTCATTTATTTAAAAAAAATGTTTAATGTTTTTTTTTTTACATATATTTTGCAACAAGACTATCCATACTATTTGTAGGAGTTTTTTCAAATGCCGTAACTGCTCTCGGAGGTGGTGCTATTTTAAGACCAAAATTTCCTCCTGTATAATGTTCACGAGATGTTGTCGTGGCTGTATGTGGTCGTTCTAATGTTGTCAATGTGCTTTTCACTGTTTGTATTGTTTGATTTGGAAATATTTTTTGTGATGGTTGATCGGATCCGGTCGATATAAGACGAGGTCCAGCACTTTGTGCACGTTGACGAGATGTTGTATTGTAGTTATTATTAATATTATTATTCGGAATAACACGAGGTTGTAATGAAATAGGTACAACAATGTTAATTATTTTATCATTCGATGTAGGAAGTTTCTTATCATCATGTATATTATTCCATACAAGACATGATGCAACACTTGTACTACGTTGATTACATTGTTGTTCTAAAAGACGTGTACGTGTTGTTAAAAATCTTTCAAATGTTTCTCGACGAATTTGTTTTGATTGTTCAGAATCAGGTTGACCATGTCTGTAAGTGCTTGCATAAACACTTGTTTCTAGTGGAGATGATGGTGATAATGTTGTCGTCGTTTTTTCACTATCATTATTTATTGGTTGTATTAATTGAATTTGAGATAACGTATGTGGTGCAGTTGAATCACGATTATAATCATCAGCATATGATGTTATTTTAACACCATCAACATATGTTTTACGATCAACATTTTTTGGTATCCAACTAACAAATAATGGATCGAATTCACCACGTATATTAGTTTGTGCTTTGCGTTTACCGAAACCCTTTAGATAAAGAATTTTTAAATATTACATTAGATTTGATATATATATATATATATTTATATTTGTTTTATTTTCTTTTACCGTTTGGGTACCACGAACAAGTGGATCACATTCAAATTTAAAACGATTATCATGTCGAGAAAATGCATGAGTAGTAGCTTCAGCCTAAAATTAAATGAAAAAGATAGATTAATAAACATAATATATAGAAAAGAAAATTTGTTTTACTTTTTGTCGATCGAGAAATTTTTTAGGTGGATTAGGCTGAGCTAATTGACGAAAATAATTGCATAAATCAGCACGTGATCTAGCTCTAAAATGCCCATAATAACCAGATGGAAACTGATTATAAATAAATAAATAAATATAATTAATAATAATAATAATAAAAATATAATCGATTTGTGTTTAGTAAGATTTCTTACCCATGAACCAACAACTCTTTGTGCATCAGTTGATGTGGCTAATGATACTTGTCTAACTTGAACTTGACTCATATCCAGTAACTATCGTTTATAATCAAATACAAAATTTTAAACGTTGACCATTTGTTTGTAATCCGTACAAAATAATATATACCTTTCGTGTTTGTGTTGTTAACAGCGACACACGACGACGACAACGCCGTCGTAAAAAAAAGAAAGAGGAATTTGAATGAGAAAAAAAGACAAACTAAAAGAGAAAAATTGTTGTGAACGACACTTAAAAAAATATATATTCTCTACTACACGACGACTACATTGACACTGTACTGCTTGCACAGTGAAGCAGTACTACTAATTTTCCGTTTTATTTTGTTGATTTAAAGAAAGAACGAGAGAAAGAAGATTAATTTAAAAAAAAGTTTGTTCTGATATTTCATTTGAAGCCAACTAAATCATTATATATAGGTATTCATTAGATGATTTTTGAAGATAGTCTTGAATGTTTGTTTTTTTGTTAAATTTCATTCTTATGATTGTAAAGGACAAATATGCAATGATTAGAACATCCATTAAAATGAAAATCAAGTATTTATCATAGAACTTCAAATGCAAAATTTAAATAGCTCATCATTGTAAACACTTATAACTAAATTATTCTTTTTTTTTTGGGATTATTTTAAATGGTATAGGAATTAGATGAAAGAATAAACTATTCCATATCACTTATTTGCTTATCAAACTAAAAATTTGTAAGACGAAGAAAAATTTTTTTTTTTGTTATAGTCCGATAAAGATTATTTATTCTTCGTACGAATATAATCCTTCTTTTTTATTTTTTGTAGCTATATCATTCATCACGATATGTAGTAAGGAACAAAATTATTCAACAAAATTTGGTTTTTTTTCCTACTGACTTGAGTGCGAGAAAAAAATTCAAATAGAGAAAATTGTTTCCAATAAGAATTGAAGTATTCCCAAAGATAGGATCTCCAGAAAATTAAGATTCGAGGTTTTTAGAGTCTAGAATACATAAATATAATTCCGTTTAGACTCCATAAAATCATAGAGAAAAGAATTCTTTACAAAATGAGATATCTTCGAGCTCTGTGCGATGTTTTTCTGATGAGATACAGCAAACTATTCAATGTTTAACTTTACATGCTACCGTAATATTGGTGTATCTCACAAAAAAAAATATCATAGAGAATTTGGAGACTTGTCATTATGTAGAGAGTTGTTTGCTCTATTACTTTATGCAGTCTAAATGCAGTTATATCTATGCATTCAAGGCTTCGGAAACCTGGAGTTTAGATTTTCTGTAAATCATGTCTTTGAGAATCTAATAATAATTTTTATTTTATTATATTGTTGTTGGAAACAATTGTTTCTGCCTGAAATCACAATTTGCATTTTCTCGAGCGCTTAAGTCAGCGAAAAAAAAAATTGAAAAGAAACCTTGTTGAATAATTTTGGTGCCGATTGTATAAATTGAACAAGGACATGAAATGCTAATTCAGCCAAATATAGACTAGGTTTTTTTTTATTTTTCTGTAAATTAGATCTCTATTTATTTTGTCTACCACGACAATTTGATCGAGCAATGTCGAAAAATATATGACGAAATCTATGTATAAAATTGTGGCTATACATTTTGAAGTACAAAGCTATTCTTATGAAAAATATGAGCCATTATATTAAACAAAGATTTCTTGAAGGTGAAATGATGAAAAATGACGTGCGAGATATAGGCAAAGAATTTATTAAAAATTCGACTATTTTAATAACGATAGCTTCAATATATGCAGATTACTTTTATTTTAAATGAAAAAAATATTTTGATAGAGATTATAATTAAATTTTGTTCACCTATGACAATAATAGTACAAGAAAGAATAATTGGCATACAAGCAAAATAATGAATTTCTATAATCTAAAATAACTTTAAATAAACAAAAATATGGATTCTAAAAAAAAATATAGTTGATCTGCTTCTTGTTTCTTAAATCATTTGAAACATCAGTCCATTGTTATGACAGCAATAGAGCCCGTCGAGTCTGGATCCCAAAACTTTGAATCCGATGGACTCTATCCTGCACTAATCACCGAATATCGGAAAAAATATCTCGTATCGTCGGAGCAGCTACCTCATTTCGATTAGAAGGTTTCATTGAAAGTACCAAGGTATGGTTCGACCGGGCCCGAATCCGAAAATTTTAGTTTCGACGGGCTCTAACCAACAAAGTTTTATTAAGAATATTTGATAAAATAAGTTTGATTTATATTAATTATGTATAAACTAAAATTCTATGTTCATCACAAATTCATTCGTATATTTAATTGAAAATTTTCGATAGATAAACTTTAAAGAAAAATTTTTTTTTTCATAATTTATTAAAAGTAAATTATTTGTTCGATGTAGAAAATTTTTCAATTTTTCTTAACAGATTACTTATGACATCTTTCGATAAGTAATTTTTGTTCATCGAGATGAAAAAAAAGGTATTACCATCGTTTTAAACATTAACAATGGTAACTCGTTGGTAACTATTGAAATTTATTTTTTTTCTTTCTTTCTCTTCTTTTTTTCTTGTTTCCTGTACGTTTCCTCTCAGTTTTTAGTGTATACTATACATTTGCTGTGGGTGGTTTATTGAACGACAACATATAAACTTTCAAAATTTATACGTAATTCCACTTGACTCACAATGAGTTAAATTTTTCTTTCAGACAATAGAGATCACATTCATAATAATAAAACCATGGATGTGTATACAAATTCAGGTGGCCTTCAACGTATTGTTGGTTATGGCTCAAATTCAGTTGTTATCGCTCATCATAATCATGATCATCACAATGATTATAATCATTTTTATTCAGCATCAACACCACCACGACCACCACCAAAAGCAACATCTACTTATCAATTGGTACCTGTTGTAGTTGCAAAACCTACAATTATCAACGTGCCAGTTCAACAACAAAAAAAACAACAACACCAATCACAAGGTAACTACCTTTCAATATACATATCTTTATATTTTATCTTATTTCTATTGTAGCTATTCGAGATCCATTTATTCTTGAACAATATCGACCAAGTAAATCATTTAAAATATTGAATTATTTCATTTAATTTCTTTTGAATTAGGTCGAGGAACATCAGCATATATTCCTAGATATAATTCTCTTGATGATCCACATATGCAAGATTATTATGCCAAAAAATTTGGCCGACGACCGAAATCATCAAAGAAACGTTCAGCTCGTTCAGATGCACTTTATCGAATAACAGTTAAAACAGCTAATGTTAAAGATGCTGGAACAACCGCAAAAGTATTTTTAAGTATATTTGGAAGTAAAGATAAAATTTGTCGAAAATTATTAACACGTGAAACAATGTTACGTGGTCAAACTCAACTTTCCTTATCATTAAATGGTCTCGATAAAACTTTTGATAATGATTGGTATAATATTGAATATAAACGTGGAGCTACAGATGTTGTTTATATTCGTTGTCGAGATCTTGGTGTTATTCATTATATTAATCTTGAAGTAAAAAGAAAAAAATTTTATATTCTAAAAGAAGTTTTAAAACTTTCTTTTCTTTGTTTTTTTTGTTAGCATACGGGTCTTTTATTTGAACAAAGCTGGTTATGTGAATTCGTTTTAATAACAAATGTTCGTACAGGTCGTTCATGGTTTTTTCCATGTAATAAATGGTTATCATTATTTCCACCTGGTGATGGTTCTCTATCGATAGAACTTTTTCCTAATGATCGTGGATTTGATAATAATCTTAAAAATAGATTTGCACCAAAAGAGACCGGTAAAACATCAAAATTCAATAACTTAATGGAATATTTATTTTTTTTATCTTTTAGAATATGAAATTATTGTTATCACAGGTGATAAAAGAGGTGCTGGTACAGATAGTCAAGTTTATGTAACGTTATTTGGAGATGATGGAAAAAAAACAGAAAAACTTCATTTAAAAAAATCAGCTACTCAGAAAAATCCATTTGAACGTAATCAAACAGATGAATTTCGTGTTAGAGGTGATTATATTGGAGAATTAGTTAAACTTCGTATTGAACATGATAATACGGGTCGACTTGCTGGATGGTTTCTTGATCGAGTATGAAGATAATTTTTTTTTCTTTAGTATTAAATAAAAATTTTTTTTTTTTCTTATTTGATTAGATTGTTGTAACAGATATGTTCGATCCAAAAACAAAGTATTTTGCAAATTGTAATAAATGGTTAAGTAAAGATGAAGGTGATGGACAAATATCTCGAGATCTTATATTATATAAAGATATTAATAAAGGACAAAGAAGTAAGAAAAATAAATTGAATTTAAATCTGTTTTTATATAGGTTTACTTTTGTCTTTTAGGTAATAAATATAAGATAACAGTTTATACAGGAAAAAAAATGGGAGCTGGAACTGATGCTGATGTATTTATTACTCTTTATGGTGATTTAGGTCAATCAGGTGCCATTACGCTTGATGATAAAAAAAATAATTTTGAATCTGGACAGTAAATATAAAGAGATTTTTTTTTTATATATGATTTAAATATTTTCTTTCGTCTTTTTTCTTTAATAGAAAAGATGAATTTACAATTGAATGTCCAAGTGTTGGCGAAATAAATAAAATTTTAATTGCACATAATAATAAAGGTTCAGCACCTGGTTGGTTTTTAGATCGTATAATAATTGAAGATCTTAATGAAAATCGTATATATGAATTTCCATGTTATAAATGGTTAGCAACAGATGAAGATGATGGACAAATATCTCGTTTTCTTTTTCCAAAAAAAGGTGGTGCTGATGATAAACATGTAACAGCAGGTAAATAAACTTTAAAAAAAACCTAAAGAATGAAATATTTTATTTTCTTTATCAATTTTTATCTTAATTATATTTAAAGATGAGGGTGAGTAAAAAGAAATACCCGTATATATATCCCGATGTATCCGCTTTAATTATAGTCTTTACTACAGTTAAATATATAAGAAGAAAAAATATATGTTTACTTATTTTAGGTATTCCTTATAATATAACAATTTATACGGGTGACAAATCAAATGCTGGTACTGATGCACGAGTTTATATTGTTATGTATAATAATGAATTATCATCAAGTCAAATATTTTTAAGTGATGGAAAATTTGAAAGAAAATCTGTTGATACATTTACAATTGATGGTCCAGAAAATCTTAGTCCATTAACTGCATTAGATATTGGACATGATAATACTGGCATAGGACCTGGATGGTATCTTGATAAGGTTTGTTAAGAAAAAAAGATTAAAATTTTCATTGTTTTTTTCTTTGCTGAAAATATCGTAACTATTAAGAAATATATATATATACATTTGAAGATTGAAATAAGGCTAATAAATAGTGATAAAACATTATTATTAAGATTATTAAAAAAGAAATAACTGTTCTTTAGTTTTATTAATGTCCAAAAAATTAATAATTAACACAATCGAATATCCGATTTGATTATTTCACTGACTGCTGATAGATGTTGAAAAAAAAAATTAATCTACGAATAACTCTAATGTTCTCCTAGAGCATTATGGACAAATTTCCTTTTTTTTGTTTGCAGCTAACTTAATTATCTCAAATAGTGTGACGTCAATAAGACTGACACTTTCATTCTAATGTTTAGAAAGAATCTAAGTTAATAAGAATAAATCTCTGAAAAGAAAAAACTATCAGAGCAGATCGATATGTTTATCATCGTATTATAAGAAATCTGTTGTATTTGATAAACTTTAGTTATTCTTGTTATTGATACCTGAAATTAAATTCGTATACGTCACATTTTAATAAATATTTGATTTATATTCTTTTCGATATCTATTGATTTAATATTAAATTTAATATTTTAGGCTGTTGTTAATTGTCCAAGTACAGGTATAGAACAGACATTTCCTTGTAATGCTTGGCTAGCTGATGATACTGGTGATAAACGTATTGAACGTCGATTAAAAGAAGATTTATCATTACGTAAAACTCGTCCACCAAGTAAATTAGAAAATAATCTATTATTTATTTTTATATATGATATACATATATATATATATTTTCTTTATCTTAGCTGTTCCATGGTATATATGGGTATATACAAGTGATATTAGAGGAGCAGGTACTGATGCCGAAGTAATTCTTGTTCTTTATGGTCATAATGCAAAATCTGATAATATTAAATTACGAAGTAAATCTGATACATTTGAAGCTGGTCAATGTGATGAATTTAAAGTTGATGTAGCTGATGTTGGAACACCATTTAAATTACGTGTTAGTCATGATAATAAAAAATTATTTTCACCATGGCATCTTGATCGAGTATGAGGAAAAAAAAAATTTGTTTTTTTTTCTTTTTGTTTCATTTCAAAATATATTTAGATTGAAATGGAAAATCTTAACACAAATAAACGATATAAATTTCATTGTGGAAGATGGTTATCAAAAGACGATGATGATAAACAAATTATACGAGAATTACCAGCTGAAGGTCCTGGAATATCAAAACCTTTACCTATTGTTAAATATACGGTTGATGTACATACGGGAAATAAAACTGGTGCTGGAACAGATGCAAATGTTTTTATTAATATTTTTGGTGAATGTGGTGATACAGGAGGTTAGAAATTTGATATAAGTTTAATTTCTTGTTTTTCGTTTTTAATAAATATTTTTATTTTATTTTGTTAGAACGTCCATTAGAATATTCAGTAAAAGGTGGAAATAAATTTGAAAAAAATAAAGTAAATATTATTTCAATAATATTTTAGAAAATATTTTCATTTTTTGTTTTTATTTTCTAGGTTGATAGTTTTATTATCGAAGCTGTTTCATTAAAACAATTACGAAAAATTCGAATTGGACATGATGGATCTAGTTAGTTTATTAATTAAAATATTCTTTTTGTTTTGTTTTTCTTATTTTATTTCTTTTATTTAATATAATCATGAAATAGATCCGGGTGCTGGATGGTTCTTAGATAAAGTTGTTGTTCGTCCTGAAGATCAACGTTATGAATCAGCAACATTTGAATGCAATAGGTATAATGAACTTAAAAGAAAAAGACCACAAATATTTTTAAATAAAAATAATATTTTTCTAGATGGCTTGCTACTGATGAAGATGATGGACAACTTGTTCGAGAATTAACGCTTAAAACAGCAGCACAACATTTAGATAAAACAACATATAATGTTAGAATAAAAACTGGAGATATTTTTCGAGCTGGAACTGATGCTGATGTACATTTGAAAATTTTTGGTGAAAATGGTGATACAGATAAAATTCAACTTAGAACAGCTAATAATACATCAAATAAATTTGAACAAGGACGTATTGATCATTTCACATTTGAATTTGATGATCTTGGCAAAGTTAGTATTTCGTGATGTTTTTTTGTTATAAAAAATAATTTTTTCTAATTATTTTTATAGATTCAACATATAATTATTGGACATAATGGAAAAAATATTGGAGCTGGATGGTTTCTTGATTGGATAGAAATTGATATACCAATGCGAGGAGAACTTTATAGGTAAAATTTATGTTGATAAATTTTATTTTACAGCTTTATTTAAAGTAATAGTAATATCTATTAAACAGATATAGACTTTATGAGGATAAATTTTTTTGTTTCTTGGAAATCTCTTCAGTAGTAGTTTAGTACTGTTACTAATATGAGTAAGTATATTATATGTTATTCTAAATAATTCTTGTAAACATTTTGTATTTATTTTCAATTGAAAAAAATTTATATAAGATTCAAACGATCGATCACAATTTATAAATAGATACAGGTTGATTTGCTTCTATCTTGAAATAAGAACATCAAATCTATCAGTTTATATGTGCAATGTAAAAGACATGCTATTATCATAGTTATATCTTAGGATTGAAACTACCAAAATATGTAAAACTTTCACAATAAGCTATTTTCGTTAAGATCTGTCTCTATGCAAAGTTTCAAGTCGAAATTCAAAAATAAGTTTTTTTGTTACCATGGCATTCATTTAAAAAAAATATTGTAAAAATGCAGTATTATCACAGTAATAAGCTAAGCGTACGAACTTTTTTCGGAGCATTCATATCCCATTTGAGTCTACATTATACACTTAGTCATAACTCAAGAGTGATTTATTAGTTGAAGAACTTTCCTTGTCAATTCGTATCATAGAAATCAATCGACAGAAAAAATATAATTTTAATGTTCTCCTTATTAACTATTAAAAAAAAATGTTTACTCTATTTTCTTCAATAGATTTGTCTGTAATCGTTGGTTAGATAAAAGCGAAGGCGATGGTAAGATTGAACTTGATTTAACACCGTCTGATGTAATCAAGAAAACTCGTGGTAAATTATTGAATATGATTTTTACAAGTTTAATTGAAGAAAATAATTAATATTTTCTTTTAAGTTATGCCATATGAAGTAACAGTTTTTACTGGCGATAAATCGGGTGCTGGTACAGATGCAGATGTATTTATTCAAATGTATGGTTTAAATGGTAAAACAGAAGAAATTATTTTGAAAAATAAATCAGATTCATTCGAACGAAAATCGGTAGAAATTTTTTTTTTTTTTGAAACAATAAAAAAACGAAAATAATTTTATATATTCATATTTTAGGTAGATAAATTTAAAATAGAAGCACCTGATATAGGACAAATACAAAAAATTCGAATTGGTCATAATTCAGAAAAATTTGGTTCAGCATGGTATCTTGAAAAAGTAAAATTGTATTTAATTTTTGTTTTCATAATTTATTAAAAATTTTCATTTAGGTACTTATTCAACGACATCTAAGTGAAGAACCTGAGAAACGAAAACGAGGTTAAACTTTATAATGAAATTTTATTTTATTTTTTTATTTATCAAATATATATATATTTAGGTTTTAAATCTGGTCGATCACAACGTCTTAGTCAAATAAGTGCAACCGATCCAAATGTTGAAGAATATTGGTTTGTTTGTCAACAATGGTTTGATAAAAGTTCAGGTGATAAAGCAACTGTTCGAGAACTATTACCAACTGATGAACAAGGAAAAGTATTAAGCGATCGACAAGGTAAGATAAGAAGTTTTTTTTTGTTTTTAATGTATCACAAACAAATAAATAAAATGTTCGTTTTTTAGAACTAACATATGTGACACATGTCTTTACTGGTGACAAGTCTGGAGCTGGTACAGATGCAAATGTTTTTCTAACAATCTATGGTGCATCTGAAGATACAGGTAGAGAATTCAATTGATGATAAGATTTAAATGAACTGATTATTATTAAAGGTGAACGTGAACTACGACAATCGAAAACAAATAGGAATAAATTTGAAAGAAATCAAGTTCGTTTGTTTTTTTTGGTTTTTGTTTCGACTTTTTTAATAACAATTTTTTTTTCTTTCATATTTATTGTAGGAAGATGTTTTTGAAATCAAAGCTGCAGCATTAGGCAAATTGAAAAAAATTAAAATTCGACATGATGATTCAAATGTATGATTATTAAGTAACGAGTGATCTTCACCAAATTCTAGAATTTTGATGAAAACAAAAAAAGACTCTCCTTGTAAATCTGATGAATTTTTCGAGAAAGTAAAGTCATGTTGATATGCACAACTTAACTTGGGGAATGTAAAATGTTCCAGTCTTTCATTCGTTTTTTTGCTCACCAGTTCTCAAAAAACCGCTCGATCTCCTGCAAAAACCCGATGAATTTCAGCAAAGACCTTCTAATCAGTCTCCTGAGTCATTGAGCACTTTCTCCCCAATCCTAGCGATCTTGGAACACCCCTGACACTTAAACTCAAGTTTTAGTAGATTCGCAGAAGAATTTTTGATGCACTCCTTACAACGGAATTGTACCAGTACTTCTAATATTAAATATCCTTTGTAGTAGATAAGAGTATTGAACTACCCAGATCAAAAAATACGAGTTGTATACGGATGTTGACAGTGACAATACGATAGGTAAACGAGCTGTATGCCATCACAATACTTTGTGCAGAAATACGCCCGTGTCATAGTGAGGTTACGGCCGTATACGGTGCCGTATTACTGTGTCCGGGATTACGAGAAAATACGTTTAGTTGACTGTTGTAAAGTGGCTGTTTTTCTACTATTTATTGACGAAAAACGGACCGTAAACGATATCCGTTTTGATTGACTTGGATAAGCAAGATCGAATATTTAAGATAAGTTTTAATACTTCGACTTGTTAAAATAAAGTTTCATTGAGAAATTGAAAAGATAAGATTATTTTTTGTTTCTTTTCAAAAAATTTGAGAAGAAACTATGAATAAATAATAAATTATTCTACTAATTATTTGAGATGATGAAAACCGTATTCATTTAATTCTGTTTAAAAAGAAAGGCTTTTCAGCGCAGTTTCTTTGGAACTAAAATTTGATACTTATATGTGTTCTTTATCTTCATTATATTAATATAAAATACGTAAAGTGAAAAATTTCTAATAGAAAATAATTTTCTTCCAACGATGATTAATCACGAGAAAAATGATCGGTCTTATTTATTTCTGCATTTCGAATAGAATTTTTATTTGACTTTTCTTAATTTATTATTACTATTGATCATTGATTTCACCGTAAAATAACCTTGTTGTACATATTCACTATATCTACAACATTAGCAGTTCTGTATTTCGATTTGTTTCTCTAGATTGGTTCTGCATGGTATCTTGATCGAGTGGAAATTACTGATCCAGAAACAAATCAACTGTAAGTGTTAAAATTAAAAACAAAAATAAAAATCATTTAATAGTATTTTTGTTTTCGTTATTTAAAGATATCATTTTGTCTGTCAAAAATGGTTGGCTACTGATAAAGAAGATGGATTAATATCTCGTGAAATTCCTGCACTTGAAAATAAAGCACTACGTTTAGCAGCGGCACGTGAAAGTTCTGCTGGATCATCAGTTGATTACGGTTTAGAAATGAAAAGTAAGTTTTCTCAAAAATGATTAAATAAATCCTTGAAATATATATAATTCATATCCTCACTCTTTCACTTCGGATATCTTCTTTTATCCAGCACATATTCATCGTGGTTCGTACGATTGACATGTATCATCAAATTTATCTATTGTTTCTTTTTTGTTTCTTTGAATTTGTATATCGTTAGCAATTATTGAAATTGTAATAACAGTTTTCGTATTTGACTTAGCTTTTCTTATCAATTACATCTTATTGCTATTTTTGTTGTTTCCCATTTAAAATACAAATTCATATTATAATTTAAAGTTTACCCTTTTCCCCGTTTGCTATAATTATTTAAATTTTATTTCAATTGATTTTTATTCTTTAATCACAGCCATAGCAACTACTTATAAAATTAGTGTTATTACATCGAATGAATTTGGTAGTGGTACAAATGCCAATGTTTATATTATCATATTTGGAGAGCATAATGATACAGGTTTGATTAATTAATTTGATGAAAGTAAAAAGAAATAATTATTATATGATTAATAGGTAAAGTTCCATTAATGACATCAAAAACTCATAATGATCCATTCGAACGAGGTCATACTGATGAATTTGAAATTGAAGCTATGGATATTGGTGAACCAAAAAAGATAAAGTACAGATAATTATCTGAAAAATGAAATTATTATACTTTTGTTTTTTATTGTTGTTTAGAGTTGGTCATGATGATTCAGGTTTTCGATCAGATTGGTTATTAGAACGTGTTGAAATCGATGTACCTAAATTTGGTCGCACATGGATATTTCCATGTGGAAAATGGTTAAGTACATCGAAAGGTGATTGTCAATTAGAAGCTGAACTTTATCCACAAACTATGGCAACTGAAGTTTATACACCATGTAAAAACAAAAAAAAAGCGAATTAATTTTTTTTAAATATTTTTTTTTAATAGATGTTCCATATGAAATAAAAGTTTTTACATCAAAAGTTTCTGGTGCTGGAACAGATGCTAATATTCATATTGAAATATATGGTGTCGAAAAAACAACTGGTCAAATTATGTTATGTGGTAAAACAGATCGGAAAGACAAATTTCAAACAGGTTCAATTGATACATTTGTACATGAACTTGAAGATGTTGGCAAAGATATTGAAAAAATTCGTATTGGACATGATAATCGTGGTTTTGGTAAAAATTAGAAATATCAAATTATATGATATTTAATTTATTTATTTTTGTTTTTAAAAATAGGTGCAGCATGGCATTTAGATCATGTTGAAATTCGTCGATTAGATAAAAATCAAAAAACTAAAACATTTATATTTCCATGTCGTCGTTGGCTTGCTAAAAATGAAGATGATGGAAGTATTGTACGTGAACTTATTCCAGAAAAAGTTATTGAAGAAAAACTTGATAAAAGTGGACAATTACAAGTTCGAGAAAGAGAAGTTCAAGATCACCTTGAAAGTATAGGAGAAACAAAAAAAAATTAACAAACAAAAAACGATTTGTTTTTATTTTATTCTTTTAGTGAAACAATATGTAGTTGATGTTTATACAGGAGATAAATTTGGTTGTGGTACAGATGCAAATGTTTATTGTACAATTTATGGTGATAAAGGTGATACAGGCGAACGTGAATTATCACATTCTGAAACACATAAAGATAAATTCGAAAGAAAACATATGGATAGATTTAAACTTGAATGTGCAGATTTAGGAAATGTTTTTAAACTTAAAATACGACATGATAATGGTGGAATATCACCTGATTGGCTTTTATCTAAAGTTGAAGTTAAAGATGATATAAGAACATATGTATTTTATTGTGAACAATGGTTAGCTAAAAAAAAAGATTCAAAACTTGAACGAACACTTTATGAAAAAGTATATACGAAAAATTTATTTTGTTTACGTTCTATTACTATAATTATTCTTTATTTTTCTATTATAAGGATTATCAAGGTTCAATGAGTAGTCTAGGATCTATACCTCGTTCTGTAACTGGTTCCAAAGTAAGTTTAGCATCAAATGAAAGTGATAGTAAAAATGAACCATTTCGACGTCCTCAACGTAAAAATATTATGTCAAGTATAGCTGAAGAAAGTCGAGATACAACTGAAGAAGGTATTCCTTATACTGTTAAAGTTAAAACTGGAGAAAAATCAGATGCTGGTACAGCAGCAAATGTATTTATACGTTTAATTGGTCGTAAAGGTCGACACACAGGTTTAATACCATTAGAATTAATGCAACGAGGACATTTTGAACCTGGAAAAGTTGAAACATTTTCTTTACAAGAACCTGATATTGGTGATTTAGAAGTTGTTGAAATTGAACATGATGGTGAAACATTAGCTGATAGTTGGTTTCTTGATGATATTACTATTGAAATGCCAACAAAAGGACGAGCATTTTATTTTACTTGTCATGAATGGTTATCAAAACATAAAGGTGATGGTCGAACGAAACGTACACTTAAAGTACAAGATTCTAATCAATCATCATTTCAACCTTGTAAGATTTGTGTTTGTTTTTTTTCTCTGGTTACCATGAAATTTTTTTTGTTTTTGTTTTTTTTTTTGTTTAGTAATTCCATATGAAATAACTCTTTATACAGGAGATATTGAACATGCTGGTTGTGATTGTGATGTTAGTTTAAAATTATTTGGTACAACAGGTTCATCATCTGAACATGTTATTAAAAAAGATGAAGGACTTTTTGAACGAGGAGCTATTAATCAATTTAAATTTGAATTAGATGAGGTTGGTAAACTAATTAAATTACGTGTAACAATAATACCAAAACATAAAAAAAGTCGAAATCGATGGTATTTACAAAATATTGAACTTGTTAAATGTACAAAACAAAATGAACGACAAGAAACATATTTCTTTGGTCTCAATGATTGGATATCACATGAAACAGATTATCATCGTGATATACCACTAACTAAAGGTGGAAAAGCTTTATTAAATAATACAAATTATCGTGTAACAACTAAAACTAGTAATATAGATGATGCAGGTTGTGATTCAGATATATCTATTGTTATTTTTGGTATGAGAAATGAAAATTAAAAATTTTTATATTATATAAAAATGATGCTTATTTTATTTTTAATTAGGTCAAAATGGTGATAGTGGAGAATTAAAATTAGAAAATTCTTCAACACATATGAATAAATTTGAACGTGATCGTGAAGATATATTTACATTTGAAAATATTTTAAGTTTGGGTGAATTAACCAAATTACGTGTATCAAATAGTGAATCATCATTCCTCAAAAAATCTTGGCATTTAGAACATGTTAAAATTGATGATATACAAACAGGACAATCATATATGTTTCCATGTAATAAATGGTTATCCTCGAAAAAAGATGATCACCAAAATGTACGTGAACTTGTATGTAGTAATGATTCAACTAGTTCAAGTCGACGAGGATCATTAACACCAGGTGGTAAAGTTCCATATGAAATTGAAGTTGTTACTTCAGATAAACAAAATGCTGGAACAACACAACATGGATGGATTATTATTGAAGGAAATAAAAAGAGATCAGAAAAATTTTATATGAAAAATACACCACATAGAAAAATTTTACGAGGGTAAGAGAAAAATTTTTTTTGAAATATATTATTTATTAAAATAAAATCTATAGTGGACAAACGGATGCATTTACATTTGAATGTCGACCACTTGGTGAATTACGTCGTATTATATTAGGCCATGAAGAACGGCCAGAATATCCACTTAAATCATATGAAGGTCGTGAAGCTAAATGGCATGTTGCACATATTACTATTACTGATCCTTCAACAAACACTAAGTAAAAATTTATTATTTACAAAATCTTAATTTTATTTTTCTTCTTAAAAAAAATTTTCTAGATATGAATTTTCTATAAAACAATGGATTGATATTAACAATGATGGTGATGCATTTGACTGTGCTGATAAACAAGAAGATGCTATAACACAACAACGTCATCGTCAATCAATTAAATATAAAATTATTGTTAAAACAGGTGATGTTGATGGGGCTGGTACAGATGCTAATGTATCAATTATTCTTTATGGTACTCTTGGTGATACGGGTACTCGACAATTAAAACAAAAAGGTCGAAATTTATTTGAACGTAATCAAGTTGATGAATTTGTTATTGAATGTTTAGATTTAGGTAAGATAAATCTCATTTATTTGTCTTAAATAAAATTTTTATTCAAATTAGGTAAACTAAATAAATTACATATTGAACATGATAATGCTTTATTTTCACCTGATTGGTTTCTTGATAAAGTTGAAGTTATTAATATGGAGACAGATGAAAAAGTTGGATTTCCATGTCATCGATGGCTTGGTAAAAAGCATGATGATCATGAAATTCAACGAGATTTATTACCTATGAATGATTAATAAATATGTGATATTTTATTTTATATTGTTTTGTTTTTTTTTGTTACGTTTACCTCGCAGGTAAAATGAACATGACTAAAAATCAAATTTTTTCTTTTCCGCAATAGAAAAGTTAAAAAGAATTAAATAATTGTCAACTCGATACGATACATGGGGTGTGTGTGTGTTTGTGTGTATTTTACTTTCATTTTTCTGCTTGATGATATACGCATCTTCTGCCTTTTTTTCTTGTATTGTTGCTTTTAACGAAATAAATAAAAATAATTTTTTTTTTTTTCATAACAAACATTTATTAAAAACTTATCGCAAGCGAAAAACTAACTTTAATGTCTGTCGTTGAAACGATAGAATTTATGAAGAAAGGTTGTAATTCAATCATAAGTGAAAACAAACAAAGTTCAGATATGAAAAAAATTTATCAAATATTGCACAATTATAGAGAAATGTGAATATATTTAAGTAATTTCTGACGAGGAAACCGCTCAAGGTGTCCAACACCGATTCCCTTCATTCATAGATCGTTTGACAGAGGACATCGAGATAGTAAAAAGTCTAAGAAGATTTGTGCTGATGGCTCTTTCTTGAAAAGTTAGGGCCAATTTTCTATTCTTTCCAGCAAACATGACCAAAAATTCAAAACATTACAACTCAGTCAAGCAAGATCGTATACACTTGAAATTTTCAGCACTATAAGTTCATATACACTGCTGATCAATCTGAAAATTTTAGATTGTTTGATGGTTTCGTTCCTGACTTACAGGATTTTTGCTTCGCATGAAGAATTACACTCCTGCAGTTGGCTATAGTGCTGTCTTTTTTTGTCGTGCTTAGATAATTATATCTCTTCTGTTTTCATTTCCATCCTTTGTTAAACTGTTATTAACATTTGATGATAGGGAATATATGATATTATTTAACTATCTTTGTTTGCAAATGAACGAAAAGTCTTCAGAGTACGTACATTGATTATGATGAACGATATCAAGTATTACAATCAGTTGATATAATCCATCACTTCAAACAATCTAAAATTTTCAGATTGATCAGCAGTGTGTGTGAGCTTGTAGTGCTGAAAATGTCAAGTGTATGCGATCTTTCTTGACTGAGTTGTAATGTTTTGAATTTTTGGCCATGTTAGCTGGAAAGAACAGGAAATTGGCCCGAACTTTTCAAGAAAGAGCCATCAACACAAATCCATTTTAGACTTTTTACTATCTCGATGCCCTCTATTAAATGACCCATGAATGAAGAGAATCGGCTTTGGACACCTCGGGAGGTTTTCTCGTGAGTGTAAATAAGCTATGTGAATATGTTTAACAGCAAAGGGTTCACTTTGATAATAATCAAATAGATACAATATTAGTCATTCATCTTAGAACATTTATTAATCAAAACTATCAAACAAAACTATTCTTTCAAATATTGACCCTAATCAAACTTTTGTTTCATTTGCATGAAGTATTTGAGTATTTTGAGGAAGAATATTATGTGTCATTGACATACTCTAAGGCACTTTGACCACGACTTCAAGCGCTTAACATTCTTATTCACACGTTTGAATTTTTGTTCAAACGTATATGAGGGTGATCAGAAACGAAGCACTACATGAAAAAGAGTGCGAGCTATACAGATTAACAGGATAAGCCCGCCCCAATCACATTTCAGCAATAATAATAATAATAATACTCCATTGAATCTCGTCATCTGTCGCAACAATGGAAGAAATATCTGTAATACATGCAATCCCTTTTAATTAAATGTTATACGTGCTTTTCAGTTTTCTTTTCAAAATGATTCAATTGTTAATAAAAATTCATAGTTTAAATAACAAAGACTATAATAGGTAAGTCTCAAGGTAATATACATGAATAATGAAATTCAGTCATTCTCCATGGCAAGAAGCATTCAAATTCAGTGCATCAATTGCTTTAATTATGCACATAACTCACACAAGAATTCAAGCATTTATTTATGGAAAGAAATCCATGCATTATGGACACATCTTGAGGTTTGTACATATCGAATATATGAAAAAACACAATAATTAAAAGAAGTAAAAATGCATCATTTTAACATGAAAATAATATTTATTTGTTCCGAGGGAAATACAAAAGTGGATGAAGCAGTTCAGCTGCGTAATGATTGCAAAATAATTAGTCATATTTTCGCTAGTTTTCATGAAATAAGCAATTAGCGTCTGAATTTAATAGACTAGATCATCCAATTTCTCTCATCGTAGAGAAACAACAATTACTCGACAATAATATGTCAACACATCCAAATGAAACTTACAACTATTACATCTTTAATGAATTCAATAGTTAAGTTAGTAGATGCGTGTTGAACGATATATAGAGAACTCTTAGAGTTTTTCTAAAAATTGTGGTTCATCAATTATGGCGCGATATTTCAAATACAAAAGAAATGCAAGTGATCAGCAAGCAATTATTCATCGTATTTCTATTCAGTAGTTATTCATCATGTTTGTATAGTTTACTAGAACATCATAAAACATGTATGGGTAAATCATTAACTTATCTTGATATTGAAAAACATTTTAATTCATCATCAAATTTATTCTTTTTATTTGGTATAAATATTCATCGACCATTTCTAAATGAATATGATCAAACACATGCTGATGCAAGCATATTTATTATAGTGATTTGTAAAAGTAATTCATCTGATTGTATTTCACAAGGTGGATCATTACCAACTGAATATAAACTTGAATTTAACATTGATGGTGTACCTTATAGTGATAAACATTCAAAAATTGATCGTCAATGGCATCGAACAAAATTAATTAATTATGAATTTCTTTATGAATCATATAATTCTCATTCATGTTATGATAAACCAGAGAATGAGAAAGGTTCAATTTGGAAAAATTTTATTATGAACAGTAAACAGAGATATAAAACATTTGATTTGAAAAAAAAAATCTACTCTTTTTCTAGTGGATTCAAATCAATATGAAAATATTTATTCAAAATGGGTAAATTAAAAATATAGAAAAACGAAAGAGATTTTTAAATAAAATTTTATACAATAGAGTCAATGAAGTTTTAGTCGAGAAAAACTTTTTCGCTTGTGATTATATTTCTCTACGTCTTCAAGAGAGCCCTTTAGGTTGATCATAGACATGATTGGGTCCGAGTTTGGAATCGACCCAATAGATCATACTCTATATGCATTATGTAGATCCAAATGATCTATGAATACTCTGGAAAGAATTCATGCCCTTAGCTTATTACTGCGAAGATACTGCACTTTTACGATATTTTTTAAATGAGTGCCATGGTAATAGAGAAACTCATTTTCTAATGTTGACTTGAAATTTGTATAGAAACAGAACTTAATGACAATAGTTTTTAGTAAATGTTCCAGATCTTGTCCTTCTTCCTATCCTAAGATACAACTATGATAAAAGCGTGTCTTTCACATCGCTCATATAAACTGACAGATTCAATGTTCTTATTTCAGGATCGAAGTAAACCAAGAGACCTGAAACTATTCTCGTTAAGGTCTGTCTCTATGCGAAGTTCCAAGTCGAGCATCAATTTTTCTGTTACCATGATATTTATTCAAAGAATACTGTAAAAGTACTGTCTCTATGCGGCAATAAAATAACGACACGAACTATTTTCAGGGTACTTATAAATCATTTCGATCTACATAACTCATAGTCTCGACTCAAAAGCGAATAATCAGGTTAGATGATTGTCCTCATACGACGAAAAGATTTCTTTGAGATCTAACCATCAATTCCTATTCAAGTCTATTGTCTTCGAAGCATAATAGATTTAAACATAAATAATTTATTTATTCATAACTTTCCAAGTCTTGAACATTGATCGATGATCTTAACTTTCTTATTCAATTAATAAATCATTTCAGGAATCTACTGATATAATACAGATGATCAATTATTTAGTGTGACTAATGATTTCAAGAGAAAGTATGAAACAATGATGTTAAGTTTAATTTAAATAAAATTCAATTGATTTCGAGACTGTTCACAATCATTGCAATGAGTATTTTAGAGTAAAATGATAATAATTACAATGAAATGATTATATATCAATAATTTTGATAATTTCTTTTTTTTTCATGCATCATTAGGTTGAATTTGATGTAAAAATTAATGATGCTGGTGTTCAGTTTATTGAAGGACAACAACTATATAATAATACTGTTGTTCAACAATTTACATTATGTATGAAATAAGTTTTATATTTTATTTTATTTTATTTAATAGATAAATTCATATTTAGACTTTTTTGTAACAACTTTTCAATGTTTACAACCACCATTAATTTATTTTGATGGTTTTATTTCAAATAAAACTTATCTATCAGCTTTTCATTTTCAATTAATTTCACATAAATGTGATTTACATAAATATACATGTTATTTACAAATGACAAAAATACGAATAGACAAACTAAGTCTAACAAATATGACATTTTATGAAAGTGATACAATTAATATCAATATCAATAATCCATTATATTTTTCTCAACGAATTTCATATGAACAAAATATAAAACCAACAAATTTTATTGATCGTATTTATGAAAAAGTATTATTGAAAAAACTTTGAACAAACATAAAAAAAAAAAAGAGAAATATTTAGGTGACCATTGAAAATAATCCTTCATTATCTGATAATGAATTTTATCGTAATGCAACATGTATTAATAAAAATGTAATAACATCAAGACAATTTCTTTTATGTACACAAGATTATTTCAAAAATGAATCTATAATAACAACATTTCGTATAGATATTATTTTATGTAAATATTTCAAAGGAAATACTGATCAATGTATCTTTACTCTTTATCAGTAATAAATTAATTTTAAACTAAATGTAAATTGTTTTGTTTTTCTATTTTTTATTTTAGACATGTATTGGGCGAACATTTACGTTTATTTATACCGATTAAAGGTGATAATATAACATTTGTTGGATTTATACGTCTTTCAACAGACTTACCAAATAACGAATGGTAAATTTATCATATTTTCTAATGAATATTTTGAGAGATCTAATAACTATCTTGTTCCCTTTTTTTTTAGTTCGGTTTTTTTTGTAAAAAATGATTTAATTTTCCAGTATCAATCAACATTGTTCCATGAATGAGAAAAAGCAGTACTTATTACTGATATTATTTTTAAGTTCTCGTCTCCTCTTTCGCTTCCGATTGCGGAGTTTCTAGAGAACAATTCATTAGTCAAATCTGAAATTGTCAAGACAAATAGAGAGGGAACTGAGAGTCCTTCCAAAACCGAGTCCAGATTCACAAAAATATGGACCTGCAGCTTCCTAAGATAGATCTCAATAAGTAGAGAAAATTTTATCAAAGAGTCAAAATTCCTGAATTCTTACTTGTAGCAGACATTGAAGTCGCCAGGGTTAAAAATGGCTCTTCTTTTGTTGCCTTTCTTACTCAGCTACACTACGTCTCACAGAGCTAAAAATTTCTTGTTTACAGATGCTATATAGGCATTGTTTGGAGAAGCTACTTATTTTGGAAGTCATGATAGATTCCAATTTCCACGAAAGAACGAAACAAGTTAAAGATTTCTATTGCAACAGTACAGGTTAAATGTCGGTGATGTCCAGCTAAAATTCATTTTTATACATTCATTGGAAGGTTTATAACTTCTCGTTGTCTGCTGATTCATGCTGGGAAATCTATTTTATTATGAAAAGTATATAGAAATGAAGTACATATCTTTGGGATTAGATTGGATTACATTATTCATGTTATTGCTGTTAACTATTCACATATGATTCGTTGACTAACTTGAATATTAGCATTGATGACTAGTGCTATAAAGTAGTTATTTTCATCTTTCTCTTTCAGCTATAAACTGTATTCAAAGTCAAACGTTAACTATCTCACAATTATACAAGTGAAAGAAGGATAAAATTGATATACGAGTGTAGATGCAGCTCTTGTCTTCATTCATACACACCGCACTTTCACATCCTGCCTAAATCAATTTAACCTACCTTCAAAGATATACACTTCATTTCCATATTCATTTTATGTTAAAATGAAATTTTCTACATTTATTTTTCAAAGCATTGAATTAGATGTCCATCAAATTTTTCTTATAGCCATTTCAGTTGAATTTTCTAGAAATAGAAATTTACCATCTCATATTCTATTGGTTTCCTGTTATCTTGTTCTATTCGAATAAAACCATAAAAATCTTGAGACCATCCTCAAAAATGCATGTTTTTTTTTTCGACTAGAGTTTTCTTTGTAAAAACTATGGCAAAGCCAACAGTAGATCCTATTTTTAAAGAAAGAAAAAATTAGTGGTTCTAAACACTTTCTAGTATCAATAGAAAAAATCTTCAGCTCGATCGGCTATACTATGCTTGAGAAACGAAGGCTATTGTCTACTGGTTTCTTTTTAATCAAAAATACATCTTTGAAGAAAATCAAAATAATGTAAAAACTTTATTGTTTTGTTTTTTCATGTGCCATTTCCTCAGATGTTTTGACATTTACAATCGTATACAGGCTTGCCAATTGCTCAAGTCAGAAAAGCAGAAACAATGCGAAAAGTTTTTTTTGTAGGTTCTTCGTATTTCTATGGATTTGAATAACTTGTTGTTTCTTGTCATGGCACTTCTTTATTCTCAAATTTCCAAAATATAATAAATAATACATACAGAAGATGAATATTTTATTAAGTACATTATTTTTTGAATTTAGTTACGAATGGTTTTCTGCTAACAGTTGATTTTGAGACAACAGATGTTTTGTGCGTCGTTTGTACGACAATGAAATATTTCAACGAATTTGTATGTCTGCACCTATTAAATCTACTGGTATACAATTGCAAAAAGTCATTAGACAAATGTTTTGATTCTGAAAAAAAACAAACTTTCGACATTGTCATTGCTTGCTGAAATAGAACATAGAATGCATTATATAGGCAATAATAGACTGTAGACCACAGTTATTGCAACTTATTTAATATTAACAGATTTTATTGTCTGAAATTTTTCAATAAAAAATACACCGAAATATCTCATGTGAAAAAAGAGAATTTTTTCGCAAAAAGTGGAAACAATCGCAACCCTTGTTGTATATCAATTCTTGAAATATGTTCAATGGATTGAACACTATTCGAAACGTCTATAGAGCAGAAATAGAAATGGAAAATCTGAAAATATTGACTGTGTAAAAGCATGTTCTGTTTAAGAATAACAGCAGTCTCTAAAATAGAAATCACAATGATTAAACAAATTCGTGAAGCTTTTAATATCAACAATTTTCAAATTGTATTAAATGATCCTAATATTCATTTCAAAGTTACATATATAAAAGACATAGTGAATTTCATTGTCCATCCTACAAATTTTTTTTGTTCGAACCAATTATTAGAATGTTTTATATACAATTCAAGAAAATAATTTTCTAAATTGAAAGCATTTGTAAAACTTCTTTTAATCAGAAACTACAATTTTATATGCATTTTCTTTCAATTAGGACGAATCACCTTACTGAAAACTATGATAAAATATATGCAAATCATCTAACAAATACATATGATCATATGATTGAAATTAAATCGAATATTAATAGTAAAAATTCAATTATACGTTATTATCAAATCATAACTGATCAAGTTCGTCTTTGTCATCTTATATGTCGAAATAATTGTGTACAACAATCACCAAATCATACAGATTATTACATATCAACATCAAATATAGAATTAATATTATTCTGTGTTAAATGTAATTTTAATGAAATTTACAATAAACTAAATCATACAATTGTTAATTTTTATACAAAATTATCACGTGATATTGTATTACTAAGAATTCAAATTACTAATAAATTGTCAGTAATGTCTCTCATTTGTATTAATGATAAAAATAAAACATTAGTAGTCAATGCAAAATTTCATTTAATCAATCATCCGAATAATACTCAAACATTTTCTTGTTCAATTAATCCAATGATAATTTATCCATATCATGATGAAATTATTCTTGAATGTAATAATTTTAGTACACGTGCTGATATTATTATTTGGGCTATAACTCAATTAAGTAAGTGTTGATCCAGAAAAAAATCTTTTTTTTTTATGGAACTCACATCATGTTTTTTCGAAGGAAAATATAGTGAGTTTTGCAACCTGCCATCCCATCACAACGGGAGAAGGGGAAGACAACAGTCATTGAGTATGTTTCCATAGCAACCGACAAAAAGGACTGAGCGGCATTAACAACATGACTTAGACCGTTCTGGAACATTTCAAAGCCTTTCTCGAAATATAAACGGCTCGGAGCGATGATAATTAATGATGCATTGATTTGCCACGATCATCATATGATCAACATAGAAAACGTGAGCTGATCAAGTTATTGCTTTAGAAAATAATCAATATCAATATTTCGCAGCTTACCGAAACATATAATACTATGTTGAGGACCTGCTGTAGAAATAATGAATATATACAACAAACTTACTCGTCCACTCCATCGATGGTTGGAATAATAATAATGTTAAATTAAGAAAAACGGAATAGGAAAATGAAAAACAACGAGGCAAATAAGAAATAGAGCGTCAGCAAAAAAGAAAAAAAACCTTCTGTTCAAAATGCAGAAATAAACAAGTATAGTCTGCTAGAGATTTTTCATCTTATCTATTGTATATTAGTATAATGAGGCTAAAGTAGATATGTGCAAGGTAAGCTTTTATCGTACCCTGGACACTGACTGAGAAAAATTTTCTTACCCTACGAAGTTTTCATCTCACTCTCACTTATTTTTTTCTTTGTTGATTAAGATCATGAAGAAGTTCGTATTTTACTTAATCCATTATATATTACTAATGAAATATCTAATTCAAAAATTCGAATGAAAATTAATGGTATTCCACATGGTAATAAAGTTATATTAGAAATAAATTCATCATTATTTGGAAAAATTCAACGTTATGAATTATTAATGATGAACCTAACTCATAAATTAATTATAAAAATGAATATAGCTTTAGAATGGAATTATTTTTCTAGTGTAAAAGATATTTTTTGAAGAATTTATGATGTTTTGTTTTTAAAACATTGTTCTTGTTTTTTTCTTCTAAAGGCATTTCAATTAATGAATGAATATTTAAAAATCTATGAAAATGACTTTTATCTTTTAAACAATGAAACAAATCAACGTTTTTATTTAGTTGGACTTAATCGAACATCATTTTTACTTAGTATAATTAATTATTATCGTTTAATTTTAAATTATATTGATCAAGAATTACTTTATATCAAAGCAATAGATTTTTCACAAAAAATCTATTCAACTGTTAGTATTGTTTAATAAATTTTTTTTTTTTTGAAAAGTAATTAAGATTGTTTCAATATGAATCAATGTTTAGAAAAAATTCTAAAAATGAAATCTTTATAACGCAATATCTGCTTGTTGTTTTATACATTTTAATAAGAACTTCTGAAAACGAATGTAAATTCTAATGACTAAATTACTCAGTTCATATTTCAATCAAAAGTATAATTATAAAATTTTCATCTAAAATGATTTTTATATAATTAATAACGGAAAGTTCTCAAGTATGAATTACTCATTTGTCTGATTATTTTGCCCATCAGTGAGACCCTAGAAAATTAGTGAAAAACCTTAAAGAATTCGTCCCTATGCGCTGTCCTTCCTGGTTTATTACCATATATACGGAATTTCTTTTTTTTTTTTGGTAAGGTGTTCATGAAAACGTTGAATGATGGTATTTCGATCTGATATGTATCTCATGGCCGTTAGAATGCCCTAAAAGTTTTGGCTGAAAAAAAGTGTTCTTGTTGAGATATTGAGTATACGAAAAAAAAAACAGACGGTTATTTAGCATAAGGAAATATGAAAAAATCAATTGTCGCCAAAATTCAGTATTTCAAAAAGATTTAGGACATTCAAATGACCACGAGAATTAGTCTATCGGTAAAATTTCAGATCTGAATGCCATTAATGGAATTTTTCAGTAGCAACTTACCAGAGCTAAACAATTTAGTAAAACCCTAATAAATCTGGAAGAGCGGTATATGGGAACAAATTCTTTATGGCTTCTACAAGTCTCATTGGAGTCCACTTATGGATAGAATATTAGCTCGATCGGCGATTTACATTTGGATACTTTTCTTTGTAAGATCTTTTTCTTAAATATAACTTCTTTCAACTTGAAAATACCTAATACGTATTTTTTAATGAACTAAATTAAGACGCAACTAAATCATGATTTTATTAAGATATAATTCGTGAAAGATTTAAATCCGTAAGAAATCGGACAAACATTATAAGCCCGAAACGATACGTATCAGTCTGCTTTGACACACTAAAAAAAGCATTAATTCTTACCAAAGAAAATTAATCTTATTAATAGTAAATGTAGTTTTCTCTAAAATTTTCTGAGATCTGATCTGATCGAAACAGGATACGAAGTTTATGAAATTCTATTAGCGAAGAAACTTTTACTAACCAAAGAAAACATAACTAAAGAGAAAAAAACTTAAATACGAAATAGATAATATACATAATATTCGAATTGAATCTCACTACTTTTGATTTTCATTTAAACGAATCCACAATTGTTAGTTCCGGGATATTTTCTTTTCTACGACTCTTATTCAGAACTCCGAGCAACCAAAAACCAATTAGAAAAATAGTGAAATTAAACCTAGACCTCATTCTCATTCTCATCTTCACCGCCAGCCCCTCCTCTCTCAATATTAAAAGAACAAATATCGCAGATTCAATAGTTGTGTTACCCATTTAAATAATAAAAACAAACTGTTCAAAGAATTTTAATACAAGAAACAGTTAATTTTCATTTTTCTAGATTTCAACACATTTGTTCAAATATCAAATTTTCTATCCTGAATCAAACAACACTTTTCTCAATGATTATCTTTCTTTATTAATTCAATTATCTTCACGACCTAAAATAATCACTTATGAAACATATCATCTACTTCGGTATGAAGAAAAAAAAAAGAAAATCTTTTATTATTATTTTATTTCAATTTTTTGTTTAACTAGACATTTAATAAAATTCATATCCATTTCTTTACCTAACACATCACCTTCATTTCTTATAAAATTATTTGATCTTTGTATAAATTTACGTATATATGTTATTGATCCAAAATCAATACCAATATCAACAACAATTGATACAAATAGTTTATTTAAATTTAATCAACTTATTAGTCGAATTCTCATTATGATTCATACTGAATTAACATTAAATGGATATTTTGATAGACGAATGCAACAAATTGATAATGGTCCATTTGATTTTATTGTTAATATGACAACACCATTTATTACAAAACGTTGGGCTCTAAAATTTGATCAACCATTATCACGTTATCATTATTCTAATATAAACAATCAAATAACTGCAACAAGTAAGCAAAAATAAAAGAACAATAGATTCTTCAAAACTTCATAAAAAAAAAACATTGATCGATCATAGAAAAAGATAGAGCTGAGTAATTAAATTCAATTTAATTTTATCGAAAGAATAAATTTATAAAACTATATTCATGTTTATTTTTTTTCAATATTTCATTAGGTTTCCTGTCTACAAGTGTCTAAATCATATCTACAGTTCTATATTTGATTTTTATATTCGTATAATGTTATTACCAATCACTTCGAGTGTTTACATGATGTGCATATGGCTTAAGTCATTCCTTAGTGACGTAACTTCGCAAAAACTAAAACATGTATATCTCAGGATATAGAGCTAATTTCTATATCTTACATATACGTTAAGTTACTCTAGATATATGGCAAAAAAATCAGCGCTAGAAACTTTTGTTCAAAGGAGTTATCCGTAAAAAAAACTAATGTTAAATGGAACATCAACTTACACTTCATGCATTTTAATTTTAAAAATAAAAACTTCGAATTAAGGCAGTGTTTTTGAAAACTGAATTGTATATTCTATAGATAACTCCTAAGGCTACAACATCTCTATTTAAAGTTTTCTCTAAAAATGCCTCGATTTTTCAAAAAACTCGAATTGTCACTAGCGAGTTGATGGCGTACGAACATACAAACGAAAAAATGCTCTAATAACCGAATGAGAAGAGGTTCGAAAATAACTTCAAACAATACAAATCCTTCTTCAGAATCTCTAGATAATGATAAGATAAAAATGTTTATTTCATAGCTTGATAAAATCTCTAGAAAATCGATTTTTAAGAAGAAATTTTTTAAGAGTCCGATCTTGCTGAAAATCTTACCATAGATGTAATTCATAATGTAAAGAGATTTTTTTTTCTCTTATGGTTAGAGCAATATTCACTAATTATTATTTAAATAGTTAGTGTTTTAATTTTATTTAATTTGAATTAATAATCAACTGAAAGAGTCAACATTTTTACATATGTCTAAGCTAAAAGAACTTATTCAGAAAAATAAACCTTGTAAAGAATCAAAGTCAAATGAAAAAGAAGTATGTCCTGCTTTGTCTGAAATGGCTCATATGTAGCTTATCTATCTATGTTCTTAATGCCTTGATGCATACATACCTCTATGAATTTGAGTAATAAGTTATGTATGCAATTCTTTAACTGTCAAGTTACGTAATATTATATGTCGAATTTCTCTTGATTACATTTATATCACTCTATTCAAAAACGATCAACTCAACTACAATTGAATCCATGAATTAAATTGAAGTTTAGCTCTGGAAAAACAATAAATAGTCATATTTTATATTTCTTCGACTTTATATTGCAAAAAAAAAATAACATAAATTATTTTTAGATCAATTACGTATTATAACAAATCCTTTAGGTATATTATATTATCCTCAAGAATATATTCCAGTTTATCTTAAAATTTCTAAAACAATATCTGAAGATTATCTTCTTGGTCAATTATTATCAATTGAATTAAATAATAATTTAACATTAAATTATTCTTCATATATATCATTTTCTCTTGAACAAACATATTTAAATACATCAAATATATTACAAAAATATTTTTCAAAAATAGTATTAATTCATATAAAAAAAGATTATTATTCATATAAATTTTCATTTCAAATGAATACAACAAAATTAGCTCGTAATATTTCATTAATTTTTTTTGATTTACCAAATTCTCAAAAATATTTATTTACAATTGATATAGCTTATAATAATTCATGTTTAAAATCAAAAATAATTAATGAAAAATATCTTAAATATATAATTAATATTGATTTATGGCAAAATAATTATTTTGTTTATTCAATACCAATTAAATCTATGTCAATTGTATGTGCACAAGTTGAAATTACATCAAAAGATGTATCTATTCGAAATTTAAAACGAACAGGATATTTTCTTGTTGTTGAAACAGGTTGTTATTCATTTAATAGAAGTATTTATGAAGATTATTATACAAAGGTATATTAATCCGTAATTAAAAACTTCAGTTTCTAGTATCTATGATAGTTTATAGGATAAATTAATTGAAGAAAAAACAAATGTCTATAAAGTAGAATCAGGGGAAGAGAGAAATAAATGTTTAGCATTATGAATACAAGCGAAAATAGATATAGTAAGATGATAAGTGTAAATAGCTCGATGAGTTCAGCTTTTTTTAATATTATTGAATATATTTATTTCCTTCCTTATTTTCGAATTTATTTAATCTCATTGTCAAACACATCCAGATCTTTGGGTTTGGATAAGATATATTCGAGAGTTAAAAGAATCAACAATGGCTCAGGCTGAACAATCATAATAACATTTGATACGTTTTAGAAGTGCTACATCAATGGCAAATGAAAACATTTTCATTCATGCAAAGCAAGAATAATGAGATGGCCTTTTGAATATTAATAGTTATCAACAGGAATTACGTTTATTTTTTGTTATCGATACATCAAAGTATTTGATATAACTGACAAGGATGATCTCGATACTACAATGTGGTCATTTGCGTCTGTAGACCCTCGATTTCGCTTTGCGAACGTTCTTTCTTAGTTGACCAGAAAAAGTGTCCGCAATCAGAGTGTACCCATATTCACTGTTATTACATATAACTATGTACGAATGAAACTTTTAACCAGAATTAACTCCTTAACTGTTAAATATTTTTTTATTTAAAACTAAATAATAAATTTTTAGAAAATATAAAAACGTTTAAAAGTAACACAAAAATTTTCTCAGTCTATAATTATATAGTAGTAATATTTCAACAGAAAATTGAAAATAATTCAATTCTATAATAATGACTTTGAAAGTCTTGTTTAAAAATTTAGAAGAATTTTTGCACATCGAATTTTTCAAAAGAGTTTTATTATTTTTTCAAAGACAACAAATATATAATAATTAATCGAGAGGCACCTGTCAGTCCAAGAAAAGAAGCTATATTAAACATAAAAAAAAAACCTACACTTGACAAAGAGAAAGATAATCGATATGAAATTTTAGGACCGGTAGAAAGGATCATGATTAACAGAGAACAGTAGAGTCAATACAAAGTGTCATGAACAAAGCACAGTTAAGAGTTTCTAGACTCTATTTCTCCATGATCAATGTATATTTTTCGATATATAAAATGACTGAGCACTTTCTATTGAATCTTAGAATAACTTGAATAAATCTTCAGTCTACTAAATCTTTTTATCATCATTATTTTTATAAGAAATATGAAATGAATATGTGAACCTTAAAAGAAAATTTTATTTGAAAATTATTTTGTTATTTTTTTTTTCTAATTCTAGTTAGAAGATGATAAATGTCAATTGATTAATGAAAATAAAACTCAATTAAATAATCATTTATTATTATCAAATGCACATTTAACATGTTATTGTCGAAAACCTACAACAAAATATTTTGTTTTATGTCAACCAAAACCAATTCTTGTTGAATTTGAATTAAATGCTCAAACTTGGCTTCATTTTTATATTTATCTTTCATTGTTACTTTTTATTTTTCTTCTTCTTGGTGTCTATGCTATTTATAAAGATACATTAGATGATTATGTATGTATTTACAAAACAAAAAAAACAAATAAGCCAATAAATTAATAAATATTTATTTTTATTTGATTTTCTAGAAACCTTCTATATATTTTGTTGCTGATTGTCAAGTAGCTGCTGTTAATGTTCATCTTTATCAATTAACAATATTTACTGGTCTTCAACAATCAACATTAAAAGATTTTAAAATTTATATTCGTTTAATTGGTGAAAAATGTCATGATGAAGCACATTGTTTAAATTTAAATATATCAAATGTATTTCAACGTGGTAGTGTTAATCAATTTTTAATTACTTCATTTATTGATATAGGTTATTCATATAACAAATGATCGGAGAATTTTTAGACAAGATATTTATTCATTTTTTTTGACTCGCTAGAAAATATCAAAAGCTATGAGTTAGAATACTTTTTTCAAATATGAACTTATGAATTTTGTCTCAGTAAAATAATCCTTAAAAAAATTCAAAATATTCATTTGAACGGAAGATTTTTGTATTTTCACTATTGCAATTTGAAACTAAAAGTTGAAATCTTTATTTATATATAAGCTTGTAGATGAGAATCTACCCTATAATATGTATTATTTGAAGGTTTTTTTCTGTCTTTTGACAAAGTACCTCAATATTCGTTTTACTCAAAATACTCAGACATTGAAATGAACTCTTGAAAAAATGCTTGAATGAAAGTTACAGCTCGAGTTTGTAGAGTAAACAAAACCTGCTGGCTTACTATTAAAAATAATTCTTCACATCTTTTAAAAAGGTTCCTTATTACTCTTAAATAGACACAACATTGCTAAGTCCATATTCAAAAAGCGGCAGCTCACAAAGTAGATTATTTCACTGAAACAAAATTTCTAAGTTCATATTTTGCAACGAGCATTCTAACTCATAGTTTTTGATACTTTCTAGCGAGTCAAAAAATGAACAAACATCTTGTCTAAAAATTTTCTAATCAATTATTATATTATAAATTGATTATTTTTCTTTTGTTTATTTAGGTCGAATTGTTGCATTAAATATGTGGCATAATGAAATAAATATAAAATCCGATTATTATATACGTCATTGTATATTATATGATTATAATTATTATCGAACATATTATTTTTGTTGTTATACATGGTTATCATTACGTAAAGGTTTAAATATAATAAATGAAATATTTTATGTTGCACAAGAAGTTGATCAATATGCATTTGGTCATTTATTTCTTTCAACATATTCATGGCTTTATTATCATTATCATTTATTAAATTCAATATTTAATAAACAAAAAATAAATACATTATCAAGATTTTATCGTTTACATATTTATTTTTGTTTAATTATAATACAATTTTATTTTATTCAAATTCTTATTCTATCATGTCGAAATATAATAATAAATCAACGATGTGCTTATATTTTTCCATCATTTTTATTTTCAGTTGATCAATCATTTGTTGCAACTGATTGGATGGAAATTTATCAGGTAATTTAATTCATATATAGAGTAGAACTTATATTTTATTTACTAAGATTAATTGATGTTAGGAATTTCTCTCTTGACAATTGATCGTGAACCAAATATATTTAAATCGTATGAGATTTTCAGAATATGTTGGAGTTGTAGTATGTCAGATTGAGCTCTTATTTTTTATGCGAAGAAAAATGATGTATCGAATGTTTTCTGAGATTAGAACTTATCGGACTCTAATCGAATAATGCCGAAAGTCATCTGTCTACAGTGATGCTTATAACTTTTTAAGGGAATGCCATATGAACTACAGCAACCGCTCATTGTATTCCGGATTTTGTGCGCTTTAAGATGGTACTCTGAAAAAACTGATTTTCATCCAGTCTTATAGGATCTAAAAACTATTCTGTTTGGTTTTTCAAATTATAATCGATCTATGAAATTTCTATATAAAATATATTTGATAGAGATCTTTATTGACTATTCAAACTACTATTTATATTTTCTTTAAACTATTTATTTTTGCAGATAATTCGTCTCAATTTATTTCCATCACTTTTTATTGCTCTATTCCTTAGTTCACTTATTGGTATTCTTACACCAATATTTATATGGGGTTTAACATATTTAACAAATCGTATTGAACTCTATCGACAATTATCAAAAGCTACAAGACATTATGAAAATTTTGATAATTTTCATTCAATTATATATACAATGGCATCAAGTATAGCTGATTTAAATTCATATCGTCAAGATATTGAACAATTTAAATATATTCATAAATTTGATTTACAACATCGTTTTAGTATTAGTACATTAGGAGAACATAATGAATCTATTAGTTCACAATCAGATAGTCAAATTGAAATAAATAATAATTCTTATAATAGTCAACAATATAAAACAAATTCGAATATTAATTCATATTTTTCAATAAGAAAAAATCAACAAGTATTTATTTCAATTTGATAAAAAATATATTTTTTTCTTTTTAAGTTCGAAATAGATAAAATACGAACATCAATTGATTCAAAAAATCGTTCAACTTCAATCTTTTATCCAAATAATAAATTTTCACAACAAAATCAATTACTCAATGATGATGATGACGATGAATTTTCATTATCAACTGAAAGTTCTCAATCAAGTATACAACAACAAAATATAAATATACCAACAATTAAATTAAAAATTCATTGGTTAAATTTTTATTTCTTTTCTTTTTGTGTCTTATCAATAATTATTCTATTATTGTTTTTTTTTAGGCCAAAAAAATCTAATCAACCAACATTTAATATGTATATATTCTATTCAATTATATTCTATGGTATATCGATTATTCTTGGTATATTATCAATTATATGTATGTATTTAATAATGAAAACATTTACAGAAATAGAAAATTATTTTTTAACATCAGCTATTATATTTATACATATATTAACTATATTATTTACATTAATATTTGAAATAATTATTATTTTAATTATATCATTACTTAATGCAACATTTTTTCATATAACAGATGAAGATAAATTTATTTCATCTGTTATTCAAGTAAATAATATTAAAAAATAAATTTAATAAAGAAATAAACGATTATTTTTTCCTTATTTCAGATTCCAATTATATCTATGATTGATATTAAACAACATCAATTAAATCATACATTTACACTTAATCGAGATCTAACATTAACTGATGTACAATTACGTGAACGTATTCGTGAACGTTTTCTTGAATCATCAATTATTCGTGCTGTTAGAGATGTTATTGGTTATATTGTATTTATGGTTATTATTATTATGGTCTTTGCAGATACGTAAGTTTTTGTTTAGCATTTGTGTTTGTTCTTTTTTTCGATGCAAACAATAAATATTTGCTGTATTACTAACGAATGAATCTCTTCAGATGTCAAATCACTTTTCGATCGAGACAATGTTCATTTAATGAGTACTAGTAAATAATAGAAAAGTCTAGAATGGTTTGCTTGTCCGAGTCTTCGTTTTTGAGATATCACAATTTTTGCTGAATTTTTCAATAAAATAGCGGTGATCACATGGAAAATCGACTTTCGACTTTAAACTTTGCATGAACAAAATTATTGTACAAGTTTTAACTTTTATAGTATTTTCTTTCTGGAGATGTACAAAATTTGCTTTTACACATTAAAAGAATTTCGAATATTCAGTATCTCAGGATAGGGGATACTAGAAAATTTATAACTTACCCAATGAAATAATCTTAGCATGAATTTTGTTCATGAAAAGTTTGAAGTCGAAACTCGATTTTTCATGTGGCCACAGCTTTGTGTTTAAAAAACTTCAGCAAAACTTCGATATCTAAAAAACAAAGACCTGAAAAACCAAACCATTCTGGATTTTTCTATCATTCACTAGTACTCATCGAATGAACATCGTCTTGATCGAAAAGCGATTTAAAACCGGAAGAAGTTCCGTCATCAATAATTCCAAAAAAACAATGAAATCAAAAATTATTTTTAGTAACTACTCTAGTGGATGCATTGAATTTAGAATACCTATGTTACATACGAAAACACTATGAGTATAACTTCGAACTAGTCAAGTACCGCTTATGAGTAATTGAGTACAAAGAAGATAGTTTGCAACAGGGTATTCGACTAAGTTCCTCCTACATATATATATATATTTATAGCAGAATGCTATTATTAACAACCTGCTGAGAATCATCAAACTACGTAGACACTATGACTTCAGTATTTTTACATAAGTAAAGTCATCTATACTTTTCTCATCTTTTGTGTAACTTCTACAAGAGAAAATTTTTTATTGGTTAATTAGATTAGATTCTGAAAAAACAAAACAAATAACTTATTTATGCTTACAAAAGATATGAAGAAACAATTTTTGTTTACTGTCATAAATTTGTTTTCTTGCATCTTATTCAATAATATTACTGGTATGTGGCAAAATTCATCTGTAGTGAAATTAATGATTCTTCAATAATGAAAGCAAAGCTGATTTTTGCATTTTTACTAAGCGGAACCGAACTTGAAACCACCATGCTTTTTTTTACAATTGACTGATACTATCTCAATTTTGCTGCATATATTCTTATTGATAATGCTCTTGTAATTATTTACGAAAACTATTAGTAGAAAATTTTTTTATTGATTAGTTTATTACAAATTAAGTTTCTTAGTTTTTACTCTTTACTTATAACTAGAGATGCAAGAATAGAATTCGAATATTTCAAACTTATCTCATTGATTATGACCTATATCAATAAATTGTGTAGAAGGATGTCTGCCTTTAACAATTAAACGGAAAAGGATCCCATAAACCGTTTAGTATAACAATAAGATATTGAAAGAAAACTAAAAAGTAATCGTGACGTTTACTTTAATTTTTTTCCGATGGAAAAATCTTATGTCATATGCTTCAGTAGATACCAACATTCTTCTCCATTTAAGCAAAAAACGATTCAAATCGGTTTGAATGGATTTTAGTTACTCTTTTTTTGTTTTTAGATCTGCAAATATTGAAACACGTTTAACAATGAGACAATATACATTACAATTACTTCTTCGTGAAGATATTTTTCAAAATATTGATCATATACCTGATACTATGGTTAATATTATATTTTAAAAGAAAAAAAAAATTTTTGTTCAACAAAAAACAAAAAAGTTTATTCTTTAGGATTGGATTAGTTATTTTATTGAAAATCGTCTTTTTCTTGAACATAAAGATTATTCTTGTCAAAAAGATACATGTAATTATGTTCAAATTCGTATGTCTTTATTTATTTTTCTTTTTAATGAAAATTTTATTTATTTATTTTATTTTATTTTTTTGTAATTCTTTAGCTGATTCACCATTATATTTAAGTAAAAGTATTCGTATACGTCAAATTCGTGTTGAACGTAAAGATTGTCATGAAAAAATCAATCATCTATTCTATCCTTTAATACCACCAAATTGTTTTGTTGGTGGAAAAAATTTAATGAATAATAAAAAATTTGTTATTGGTGGTCAACGAAAATGTTCCGGTTGGAAACAATCATCAATATCAAATAATTCATGTAAAGATATTTGTAATTATACATCAATATGGTCAGCATTACCATATAAAACAATAATAAAATTTTATACAACATATGAATCACCATGGTATTTTATGTTACATTTATTACCAAAAGAAACAGTATGTTTAAATAAGCAACGAAAAAAAAAATTATTTTTAATCTTTGTTTTTCTTCTAAAAAAGGTTGAACGTTGTAATCGTAAAAGAAAATATTATGATTTAAATAAATGTAAAATAAATTTTCTTTTTTTTTTTTTTTGTTATTTTCATTATCTAAAATTATTCATAGATAATTGGTTAGATGAAAAAACTTTAGTTGTTATGATTGAAGGAAATTTATATTCTCCACAAACATCATCAATTATATCATTTATTTTAATTATTGAAAAAAATCAATATGGAATGATTGAAAAAGATATATTTATTCAAGTATCTGATTATATATTAGCAACAATTAATGATAATACATTGCAACAGAATGATACTGAACAAATCTTAACAAATGAAAATGATACTGAAAAACAATTTGTTATGACAAATTATTTATTTGCTGTTTTGTTATTTGTAATTGTAAGTGTTTTATCAAAGAAAAAAAATACCGAATTGTCTTAAAGTTTAATCATAAATATATCTGTACGCTAGAAAAAAATTCAAAAACGCATTTGATACCATAAAGTATTTCATGGAATAAAGAAGGCTTTTCGACTCTGAAAATTTTTCTTTTTTTTTGCTCATGTATATACTTCTTTTTGCGCTACTTAGTAAAAATACTTGGCTGTTTTACTGATATAAAGTCGACTTCGAGAAAATTTCTTTTAGTTACTGTGACCTCAAGGAAGTCGAATTTTAAAATCCAATGCAGGACCCTATTTTATTCCAAGTATTTGAGTTGTCAACTTTGTTTTATTTTGGATAAATCGAAAAAACAATTAAATTTTCAATCAAAACTTCACATAAGTTGAATTCAAAAATAAGTTAAATATTGAAGCTACATCAAGATTTCAAACAAGCAAAAACAAGTTTCATTGAATTATATTTTTCAGGTTAAACTCACAAATGTAATAGAATAAAACTAAAACGTTACCTTTGAATATTCAGTTACTTAGTTCCAAATTTAGAACAATGAAACTAGAGTTTATTGTATACACAAAGATGAGCTTCAATCATGACACTCCAATATAAAAGAGTAACTATATCAGTAAAAACATTTGTAAACAATTGAATATTAGCATTTAAATTATTATATGTATATGATTTTCGAAAGCATATTCATACATGTCAATATGCTCTTTAATCCAGATTATATTAGAGGCCTACATTGGAGTCAACTAAATGTTCCACTAATAAATCATATTTAACATAAGACTTTTTTTGAGTTGTAAATTTTATTCTTTGGTATTCACTGGGCAAACTGATATGTTTTCAGAATTTGATTGGTGTCTCATCGAGGCCTACACTTATAAGAAGAACCCGCAGTCAACTTTGATTCTGACTTGTCTTCACCTTTGTAAAACTCTGAGTAGATGTGAATTGATCTTCTAACACATATCAGTTTGATTTAACACAATGCTGCAGTCTTCTTCAGAAACAATAGAAAAATTAAGTTTCGAATTATGGATGTGCAGGGTAAGCTTTTTTCGTATTGTATATCCTAACTGAGAAAAATTTTCTTACCAATTCCCTTATGTGACCTTGCAATGTGAGGGAATGTAATCCTGTTTAGCTCCATACCGAATTTCAGCTTGAAACTATTGAATATAGAAGGGCATCCAATTAGAATAATTTACTGTGGCAGTTACAGATCTTTCAGTTGTTTCTATCTGTAGATACAGCTATGGTACGAACATATTTCTCATATTGATCATATACATTAGCTGATTCCGATGCTCTTATTTTAGAAAAGAAGCAATAAAAATCTTCTACAATAAACTATTTTTCATTGAGACTAATCATTGTACAAAATCTCAAGTTAGTTTTTCTGATGGAAACCACCACTTTGAGTTTACAAACAAATACCATCGAAATGCAATAAACTGGTCAATTAATATTCTTATAGTTCGGAGTCATAAACAAATCGATATGTATAGGAATATTCTATCGTTCTATCTAAATTTGTATTTCACATTTTGAATAAGACAATATATACGTTTTCTTTGATTATATAGAAAACTGAAAAAAGAAATTTAAAATTTTAGTTTACAACAAAATTATTCGATCTAGCAAAATTTACTCGAAATTTTGGTTTTTATGGTTTTGTTTTTTTTCTTCGTACATTATCAAATATAATTGATGGTATATTATTAATACTTTGTTGTTATTATTTTTTATTAGTTCATTTTGATCAAAATGTACTTCAATTAAATAATCTAATACAATCATTAAATATTCATCATTTATTTGTATCATTTCGTGTATTAATTATAAATAATACAATAATAAATCATTTAATTGGTTTAATATGTTTATTTGCTATATTTAAATTACTTTATTTACTTAAATTTAATCCTAAAACATATTTACTTGCTGAAACAATATATAAATCAGCTGAAGGTTTTATATTAATATTATGTTTTGCATTTTTAAATTATTTTATATTTACATTAATTGGTCGATTATTTTTTTCAAATGAAGAAAATTTTAAAACATTTTTCGTTGCTTTTCGTGTTGTTTTAATATCATCAATAAAAGATGCAGCATCAACAGATAATGTTATATCAGGTACAATATTAAGAACATTATGGCAATTTTTTCTTTGGGTATTTTCAGCAAAAATTATTGAATATTTTTTAATATCATTTGTTATACAAAAATTTTCAAATATAAGAAAAACACATCAATTAACAGATGAAGAAAGAATTGTTGGAAGAATATTTCAAACATTTTGGACTTATTTTGCTTTTAATAAAAAACAAAATAAATAAAACGTTTTTTTTTTTTTGTGTTTAACTTATTGACCAATTGAATTTTAGTTATGATGAAAATCACAAGGGAGCCAATTTGTATCGTCGATTTGACTAATGATCAAGCATACATACATTTTGAGATGTCCTCGTTTGTTTTTGAGTGTTGTCAAGTGGGAACGAGGCAATGCAAAAGATCCTATTAAAAATTGTGTTGAAATGAAAAGAATGTCGGATGGGTGTACAATATGGAATTGATTTCTTTTTCTTTTTTATTCTCGTCAATTATGAGTACCTCTTATATACGATTGTAAAGAATAAGATCAGAAAGAAAGAAATGATGATCATACCGAAATAGACTGTAGGAATCTAGACTAAGTGACAAGTAGTTAACAGCTTTGTTTTTGTTGTTGTTATTCTTCGAAATTTTTCTTCCTCCTCTTTCTATCCAATAATAAGCTGAGGAATAGAGAATTAATGTGACTTTTGAAAACAAAAAATTTTCACTGCTTTACCTTCTCTTCTATCATGAAACAAAATATTAATTCCAAATGACTAATAGATATTTAAAAAAAAACAAATCTTCTATCACGCGACCAAACGTGTCATCCTTTAATATGTTCATTTTCCATTTAAGAAAACATCTTATGTTCTTCCTACACTATCATAAAAGAAAAAAAAAAGTGAACGGATGTACTTTAAGCCTGCGGGCTTCTTCTTCTTTTTTTTTCTTGTTCTTCTCTCTTAACAGACGCTATGATTTGAGAAAAAAGAAAAAACATATATAACAAGCAACAAGAAGCATACATTGAATAATTGAAGGGGGAAGGATGAGTTGTTAAAAATACAATACTAAAAAAAAAAATAACGTATGGTAGAAAAAAAATCTCCACCCTCCCTAATTATCGCTTCAGTTTCCTCTCGGCAGGCATGGAATGTAAGCAACAATTCGACCATTTGTTTCGTCTGTCGCGTGTTCGGACTCGATTAATTGGTTAAGTGACTTCAATTAATACATATACACACGCAAATATATTTATTTTTTCTCGTGACCAATACACATACACACACACACACACATATACAAAAAGAAAAAGAAAAAAAACGAAACAAGATTAAATGAAAAAAAAAACAGAAAAAAAAATATTGTCAATGACAATCTTCATCTTCATCATCATCATCTTCACCACAATGATTTGTATTTTTTTTCACATTAGTATTTGTACTTGTACTACTTACATGAACATTTCTCATATGTTTTTTTAAATCAAAATTTCGACAAAAACCTTTCGAACATATCATACATGAATATGGTTTGATTTCTGAATGTGTATACATATGAAATTTTAAATTATATATTTGATGAAAAGCCTAAAATTTAAAGATGAAGAAATTCGAGATAAAAACAAAAAACATTTATAATTTTTTACTTTTGAACATATTGAACATTGATACTGTTTTATAGTTGAATGTGTTAATTTATGATTTTTCCAATTACCTTTTTGATGAAAACCTTTACCACAAAATTCACAAATCTAAAAAGAAAAATGAATGAACTTTTTCATTTAGTTTTTTTTTTTCAATATAAAAATACCCATGGTTTAAAATTTTGATGTATACGCATATGTGTATTTAATGTTGATGAACGATTAAATGCTTTACCACAAATACGACAAGCATGTGGTTTTTCAGATGTATGAATTATTTTATGACGACATAATGTTGATGCTTGTCGAAAACCTTTACCACATATCTAAATGTATAAATTAAAATAAATATTTCAAATTTTTTATTTTTATAAACCTTGCAAATAAATGGACGAATGCCTGTATGTACTGGCATATGTCGAACTAAATTATATTGAGCAGTAAATACCTTAAAAAAAAAAAAAAAGAAAATAGAAATTTTACTTAGAATAAAAAAAATAAAATAAAATTTTACTTTGCCACATTGTGTACATGGATAATTTTTAAGTTTATCATTTTCTTCACTGTTCAATGTTCTATTATGTTTATCATCACCTGTACTAGTTGAACATTCACCTTCTTCTTCTTCTTCTTCTTCGTCTTCATCTTCATCATCAACATCATCTATTTCTTCATCATCATCATCATCATCATCATCATCAAGTTCAGTATGACGACGACGTATAGATGATGATGATGTATCCATATAAATATCTTCATCGGATATATCATCATTTTCAGTTGTTGAACTTGTTATTGTTGTTATTGATGGTGATATTTGTGTTCGTTGCATTTGTTGCCAAACTTGATTCATTTTACTTAGAAATATTAATGAAGAATTTAATGGAATATTTCCATTAGAATTTTTATTTGCTAATTGAGATAAAAATGACCAACATGGATGAGGAATCTTTGGTTTAACTAATGGTATTGGACGAGGAATCGATGATGATGATGATGAAGATGATTCAGATTCAATAACAATTCGTTTTAAAGAACGATTTATTATTGGATTTTCTTTTTTTTCACATGTTGATGTTGTTGTTTCAATTAAATTTCGAATAGAAAATTTTAGTTCATTGTTCTCAGATTTTGAGATCATTATATCTGGAAATTACAAAAAAAAACGCTCTCATAATGTGAATCTATTAGATAAGCTGTCGCGCTTTTTCAGAGTAGCTCTTGACAGAACAAGTCTTGGCACCAGTTGGACCACAAGAACATCTTTACGATTGAACTAATCATAACTTCCAATTACCTGTATGATGATTTTATCTTTATTTAACTTGCTGATGCCCGAATGTAAATACGTGTATAGTTGGAATAGAAAAAGGAAGAACCACCTGCAGACTATCGTGTCAGTAAAACGAACACGAGCGAGAAAAAAGAGAAAGGAGCAACAGCAGGGTTAAGTAAAAAAGATGACGATGAAAAAGAAGAAGAAAAAAAAAAGAGGCTAAAGTAATAACGCACAACGATGAATGGTCTCTTGGCTGGTTTGAATGAATAATGCACAAATCGTATGCGTGCGCACTTCTATTTGTGTCTTTTTTTTTTTGTTAATAGTTGCAAAGAGAAAAAAGAGAAAAAAAAGAAAGAGAAATGTCTACTGATTTCTTATTGGTTGTATATTTCTGATTGATTGGTGAATTCTTTTCTCTTTAATATGTTTCTTTTTATCGTCGCTTATACTTATTCTTTCTCTTTCTTATTCAAATCCAATCGAAAAAGAGACGAATACAATTTGCGTGATTTGAGCAATTCATTCACCTGAAAAGAAAAAAACGAAAGAAAAGTACTGAAATTTTCTCTTTTCGTGAATGATGCAAGCTTGAAGAGAGTCTTGTCATATTCATTCGTCCCTCCTTTATGCATACTTAAACACTAATCACCCAATACGACTATTCCTTGCAACGGTATGCACAACAACAACAACATATAGGTAGGCACCCTGGTGTGTCTAAAAATGAGACCAGAATGAGTGAAAATGTATATGTATATGTCTCTCTTTTCAATGAATAGCATCCTAATCAAGATGACTATCATCAATATTTTTTTTTTCCAATCAGGATTAACACATAATTGTTTTCAATAACAACTGGATCATCAATCTGATTATGATCTTTTCTCACACCTTAAAACTAAATTAGAAAAAAATAATAATTTCGTTTTTGTTTTTTTCTTCTGCTTCTTCTTCGAGAAAGAATATGTATAGAAATTTAATTTGTAAATTTCAATTAGATCGTTTGATCTTGTCGATAAGTGCATTGA